TGAGAAATATAATGCTATTACTTTTTTTTCCCCCTGATCTTTTCTGTAAACTTTTCAGGGCCTCTTTTTGTTGTTGTTGTTGTTGTTTTGTTTTTTGAGACAGAGTTTCTCTGTGTAGCTTTGTGCCTTTCCTGGAACTCGTTTTGTAGACCAGTCTGGCCTCGAACTCAGAGATCCGCCTGCCTCTGCCTCCCAAGTGCAGGGATTAAAGGCGTGCGCCGCCGCCACCACCACCCGGCTCAGGGCCTCTTTTCAAAAACTTAGTATTTGAAGACCTTTTCACCTGTTTGTGATAATGATTGTGTTTTGGATTCTTTTGTGTTGGAGAATGTTAATTATGTAGTGATTCTCAGCCATGTGTTCCCATTGGAGACTTGCTCTGAAGAGCCACTGGGGGTGGGATGGGGTGGTGATCAAGCTTCATATTAGGCTAACAAGTGGAATGGGCAAATGACTCATTCTAGAGTTTAGTCATACATATATCAAATTCTAAAGGATTTTTTCTCTGGAACCACTCAATTTCTCAAAAGATGTGTGTTGTTATGGCCAATCCACTAGTATTCAAGGAGTTGGGAAGTGAAGAAAACTGGAATGCTCCCAATTCAATATTAAAATATATGCAATCTTCCAGATGTCAATACGTCTCATATTACTCCTAACCCCATACCTAGTGCTCCCCGCACTAGACCCTTCACCAAATGACAAACCTCTCTTTTAAGGGAAAGGGGGTCAGGTCATTAGCTAGATGCAGGAAGTGGGAATACCTAATAACAGTTATTTGGGTCTGATGGGTAGGCTGAGAAGTCACACTTTGAAGCAGTGTTTTGTTTGTAGCAACCCACATATTCTGATTAGCTATAGGGGACATCTGCTTGACTTGTCACTAATCCCCAGCACAGAGATTTGACCTTCTACATGCTAAATCAGATTGCTCTCACTTACTCCTTCCACGAGTCACCCTAGAGAGCTGAGGACTTGAAGCCCAGTGGGTAGACTGCTTATTAGGCATACTCAAGGCTCTGGACTTTAACCTTAAGACCAGGGGAAAAAATAATGAATAAATGTAGCTTCACAACACTAATAAATATAAATCCAGTCTGTTCTTCCCTTCCTAAGGCTGATGTATATTGATGTCTGTAACCCCAGCACTAGAGTGGCTGAGGCAAAAGAAAAGTGAGTTTGAGGCTACCTTGAGCTATATAATGAGACAGTATCTCAAAAATACTGAAAAACAAAAGCACACCAAAAATAAACTATAGCTAATCCACAACGCAGGGTAAATCAATATCTATTCATCTCTACAGATACTTATCACATGCCAGTCTGTGTGAATAATTGTGAGCATACATTTATCTGTTTCTCCTTCAAGACCATTGTAAGCTTTGGTCTTTCATTTACCAGTCAGATCAACCAGTGAGAAGCAGTATCAGATTCACTTTCAAACACAAAGGACTCCAGTGTCCTCTATGTGCAAAATATTCTTTTAAATTAATTAATTTATTATATATAGTGTTCTGCCTGCATGTATCCCTGCAGGCCAGAAGAGGGCACCAGATCTCATTACAGATGGTTGTGAGCCACCATGTGCTTGCTGGGAATTGAACTCAGGTCCTCTGGCAGAGCAGTCAGTACTCTTAACCACTGAGCCATCTCTCCAGGCCAAAAATATTCTTTTGTTTTGTTTTGTTTTTTGAGACAGGTTTTCTGTGTAACATGGTGTTTCTTACGAAATTCTGAGGCTTCTAGCACATTTCCAACCAATAGCTGATCAATTTCATCATTACCTTGTGCTAGAGGGCCTGGTAGACCCATTTGGGATGTGTTATATACAAGTGATGATTTCTATTTCTGATTACTTGTTGTAGCTGAATAAATAACAAAGTTAATTCTGAATCACCTGGATTAAGTTCAGCAGTTTCAATACGTAAAAACAACTCTTTCTGTATATTGAGAGTCACTAACTATATTAAGAGGTTCTGGAAAATCTAATAATACCATGAGAATAGCATATAACTGACTTTTGAACAGAATCATAAGGGCTTTGAGCCACTTTACTTTCCTGACTTATAACCTGCCTTTCCTGATTTGTTTGCATCAGTATAGAATGTAGGGGCTCCAGAAATTGGTGTTCCCAGACAAAATTACAGGTATTAGAACAGCTGGTGCAGGAGTAGCTAAATGCTCAACATAATGAAGAATTGACCAGTGCTTGGAATTCTCCTATATATTGTCATTAAAAAGAAATCTGGAAAATGGAGAACAGTAACAGATCTAAGAGTTATTAATATGGTATCCAGCCAATGGGCTCTTTACAGCCTGGATCCAATTATTCTCTTAATAAACTGAAGTCGTTTGCTTTTGGGATATTTGTTGCTAATCTCTCCCAAGAAATTACTGCAAGCTCTTTGCCAAGGTTCATTTCCTATCCTGGAACTCTTTGTAGACCAAGCTGGCATCAATCTCACAGAGATCTTGCTGTCTCTGCCCACCAAGTGCTGGGATCAAAGGTGTGCACTGGCAAAACACTCATACATTTTAGTTTTGTAAACAGTTTCAGCAGCAGCAATAAATAAATAAATGTTCTGATGAGAAAAGCTATTGTTACCAAGGGGAAAGGAGAAAGATGAAAGGGAACATGAACCTGAATGATGTTGATGAAAAAGAGGGGAGCTACAATCTGTCATCATTACAAGGACATAAATGGCTGATCCTTTATTTTTCACCCATTTAGGGACATTAGAAACTAGAACATCAGCTTATCTGCTGTGGGATGTCTTTCTCTATGCTACACATATGTTTTATTGCCATTGGTTAATAAAGCTGTTTTGGCTTATAGCAAGGCAGGATATGGCCAGGCGGAAAATTCAAGCAGAGATACAGGAAGAAGAGGGTAGAGTCAGGGAGGAACCAGCAAGATGCCCAAGAAGCAAGATGTGAAAGTACCAGTCAGCCACTGGCCGCAGGGCGATACATAAATAGAAATGGGTTAATTTAAGATGTAAGAACTAGCTAATAATAAGCCTGAGCCATAAGTCAAACAGTTTGTAATTAATATTACACCTCTGAATGATTATTTTTAAACTGCTGAGGGACCAAGCAGGACAAAGAAAGGGCTCTAGCTACACTTACCAGTATGAAATGGGGCTGGTGAGGGAAGGAGTCAGGACCTAAAACACCTCTGGATGTCTAAGTTGAAACTTCAAAGTGAATTCTTCATCATGATGTGTCTTCCCTTATACACAGTATGCCTAGATACTCAGAGGTTTGGTTCTAAAGCACCAGGCTGCTAGGCATAGGGAAAACTGTCCAAGGTGGAGGAGGCTAGGGAAAACCAATCTGAAGGACATTGACATTGGTGCTATGAAGTCAACCTTAAGAGTCATCAGGAAAGGGAGAGGTAAGGGATGTCCTAGAGATTCTGATAACTACCAAAGAGCAGTGCTGACAATTTTAAACTGGTGGATATAGTACTAACAGCACCTTCCGCTAATTTCTAGTTTCTCTTAATAAAAGTAGCCTATTCCCCATGAAGTAATGGAGCTATTGATATCTTCTCTCTCACCTTTCTTTCTCTAAAGGGGTCCAGTCTGAAGCTCAAACATCCTAATTTACACTTCCAACTCAAGGGAGGTAGGGCATGTTAAGCCTAAATGACTGTTCAGCTCAACTCTCCATAGCTCATTACTTCCATAGAGTTAGAACAAAGACAAATGATGAGATAGAACATGCTTCCTTGGTTTACCTTAGAAATGGTTTGACCCCAGAATGACCATTTTCTTCAGATGATCCAGGTATAAACTAGCCTATGTAGGAGTTCTCCGGAGATTCTCCTCTATGAAGCAGAGGACAATCCAGAAAAGCTAAGTCATCCATTCTTCACTCAGCAAATGTACTATTATGTAACAAGCATGCTGCCAGGTACTAGGACTACAATGTTGAAGGAGACAGACAGATCCCTACTTTCAGAGGGCTTAAAGTCCAGTGGGGGAAAGAAAATTATAACAGAAATAGACACACCTACTTTTAGGTCCAGCATTCAGTGGTACCTGGAACAAAGCGACTCCAAAACGTGGGACAGGGAAGGGCATGAGAGAGTGAACAGAGGATCTCTGCCACCCTGAGTTGTAATTTTACAGCAAATAGATGTCTCACCACATCCCTTCAGCTTGACTAGTTCCTGGATAAAGTCACAGGTCAAGGTACCACTCTCAATGATCCCTTGATCATTACACTCTTCTGTATAAACTCATGTTACCATTTGAGTTGGCCACATAATGCCTATAAAACATGCCTTTACAAGTACATATGAAAAAGACTATTCTCAGAAGTATATTGTATTACACAACATTTAAAAAGGAGAGTTGGGGCATGTAGATTTTAGAAGCTGGAAATCATTATTGTCCCTAAATTGAAGTAGGAAGGGAGAAAACATGTTACTATGGCCTAGTCAAAGTTGGGGTCACAGAAGAAAAGATCCCCAAGACCTCTAAGGTATAAAGACTCAGCCTGTGACAACTTCTGTCCTCCAATCTTATAACTAACCTCAGTCTGAAGTCAAACCCACCGGTACTCACTAATCTCAGCAGAGATCAGTCTTCCAGAATACAGACCAGAGCCATGAAATGCTTACTTAGACAGCCAAACAGAAACTGACCAGGTCACTACAGTTCACTGTTGACAACCTTCTAAAAGTGCTACCTTTTAAACTTTACTAAGAGACCATGTGTATTCTGGTAATATTTGTTTGTTTTTAAGCTATCCCTAACACTATCCTCCACACAGAAAATACTCATTACCCTTCACTAGTGGCATCACCATGGGTTACAGGCCAGCCTGCCTGAATAGGACATAAGACTAACAACCCATTGTGAGGACACGAGTTGTTGTTTCTCAAGTTCTAGAATTCTCAAAGGTTCTGATTCAACACTGTGAGTGTCTGTTCAGTTTCTTCTCAGCTCTTGAGTGTGCCACACTAGAGATCTCTCTTTTCCTAAATCAAAATGAAGGAATTAATCTTCCTGAGTCTTTATCTACTTGTATCTGCCAGAGGTAAGTGTTCTCTTTAAACACAAACCCTGGGTGGATACCAAAGGGAGGCTTCTTTTGAGGTATTTCTGACCCCTTCAAGAAAGACCAGTCTTAGTTCCCCAGACCAACCTGCCTTGGAATCAGGAGTTAACTGAGTAAGAGCAATTCTGAGCACTCCTATACCAACTGATCTCTCTTGGTTATGGATGTACAGATAAAAGAGCGCACTGGCCTAATGTGCTCCTACTTCTTCAACATTTGTGACTGGTGAGGTAACACTTTACCAATACAACTCAAATCCCATCTGGTAATTTTTGTAGATTAATTTTATGCTATCATCTTCTAAAGTTCGCCCTACCCAAAAATTAAAGTTTTCTACTGTTGAGTGAAACACTGAGTCCTATCACCAGCACTACAAACGGACCTAACCTCAATTTAGGATGAACTCACTCAGCATTGAAAGCTACTGGTGTCAGCCAGTAGCGGCACCTGTAACTTCAGCACTTGAGAAGCAGAATCCAGAGAATCTCTGCAGTTTGAAGACAGCCAGGATCTCACCCAGACACTGTTGTGGGGGGAAAGGACTATTTGCCTTCTCTCTCCCTCCCTATTTCTAGTCTTCGTGCCTTTCACCCCCAGAGGAACTGGAGGAAGGGTTGGTGGCTGACTTCTGATGACATGAGGGAGGGTTCTTTGATTTCTGATTCTGGTTTGTTGGGTTGGGACATTCATTTCCCTTCATATGCTTTTCGTGCTTAGGTGAGCGGATCCCACATGTACTTCCTGTGTCTTTAAGTCTCAGAAGTGATCTCCAAACTTTTATGTAAATACTTTTGTCTTTCCTGGTCTGCTGGAGTAGTTAGATGACTTCCCCCAGCATCTAAACTATCTTTGTGTCTCACCTAGACGTGCCGGGAAACCGAGCCGTCCCACTTGTCTGGCTCCACAGGAAGTCAGTCTTGATCCCGCCCTTTCATCTTCACCATTCTATTTCTTCTTCATCCTAGGAGCACCACCAGGTCAGCCTGATGAGCTTCTGAACTCTGTAGACCACCAAGCTTCTGTTCAGCAACTTTCGAGTGAGTACTTCTCACTCGCAAACCCTTCGGATGTCGAGGCTTTGTATGAAACTCCTTCAAGTGAGAAAGGTCTGACTGATCATAGTTCAAGTGAACATGAATCAAGTGAGCATGCTGCAAGCGAACACGTTTCAGGTGAGCACACTTCAGAAGAACACTCTTCAGAACACAGCACAGGTGAGCATATCACAGGAGAGCACATTACGGGAGAGCACACTTCGGGTGAGCACACTTCAGTAGACCACACTTCAAGCGATCACACTTCAGGCGAACCTGCAGACCAGTCAAGTGAACAGACTTCAGAAGTGGCTTCCACTGAACAAGTTTCAGGTGAAAAGGCTGAGGAGTCGGGCGAACAGACTTCTGAGGTAACTTCAAGTGACAAAAACGAACAACTTATAAGTACGCCATTTCCAAGCACATCTGCAGGTAAGTCACAATGGAAGGGTATTAGTCTTTGACTAGAGGTTGAGGCCAACCTGGGCTACAGAGTTCAATGAAAGCCTAGGCAACTGAGCAATACTCTGTCCCCATAGGGAAGAGGAGAGAGATGGACAGAGAAAGGGAAGGAAAGAGGAAGAGAGATGAGAGGTGGAACACGTTAGGAACTCAATTTTAGAGAAGCAATGTAAAAGAATCATTAATATTTCACAAATGGCTCTGCCGAAGAGTCTGCTTCTTCACAGTATCAGGAAGCATTTTCCAGGTTCCATGTGGCCCTAAATTTAACACAATTTGGAGAACCCTCTTTTAAGAAAAATACCACCAATATAAAATGCTACTAGACTCTCCAACTCCACTGTTCCTAAGAACTTATGAAGGATCAGCAAGATGGCCAGTGGTGGCATCTATGGTCAAGCTTGACAACCTGAATTCAAGAGCCAAGGCCCACGTTCTGGAAGAAGGGAACTGACTCCCAATTGTCCTCTGACCTCCATACATGCCCCATTCACAGTAGAAAAATAAGAAAAATCTAAAGTTTGATGTCTCAAATTACTATCAGACACAAGTATTTCATTTCACCCAATCAACGTTAATTATTCTAAATTTTTAGATGAGTAACGTAAGGTGAAACTATTATCCCGATGTCAGTCACATTTCTAGAAAGTAGTAAATTAAACTTAGGTCTGCTTAAAGCTCCTGCTTTGTCTTCGCTCTGCTTCTTTATGTTTTTTGCTAGGGGCTTAGCATAGAGACAGCATAAGGATGCAGAAGCGGTAGGATCAGAATGTTGTCACTGATCTTCAAGCTAATCTGAAAACAGAAACTGTGCCTGGTGTGGTTCTTGTCTTATTTCAGTACTTGGGTAGCTGAGGCAGGAAGATTGGTTTGACTTTGAGGTCAGACTGGGCTAAATAACCAAACCCTGTCTCTCTCTCTCTCTCTCTCTCTCTCTCTCACACACACACACACACACACACACACACACACACACACAAGGAAGGAAGCAAAGAGGGAGGGGGGAAGGGAAGGAGGAAGGGAGAGAAAAATGCACTCTTTACAGGGCTGGCAACATTCTAGCATTCTAGTATTGCTGACTTATTAGTTAAATTGGCCCCATGTGTGTTTGTCTTGGGGCGTGAGAGTATGACAGAGGCTCAGTTACTTAGCAGTTTTCTCTTGTGAAGTAAAACATGACAGAAGGGCATTTACTCATAAATTCAAGAAGCCAATGAGATAGACTAGAATAAAAGTCACTCATAAATTTAGTATTCATCAGTAATAGAGGTTACAAAGAAGTAAAAGTACTTCTGATTTAGAAGAGAACACGGTAGTCCACACTTGTAATCCCATCACTGGGCAATTAAGCAAGACCTTGTCTCCAATAACCAAAAGGAGGGGAAAAATTAAGAGGGGGAGGAGAGGGACTGGGGTTGTAGCTCAAAGGCAGAGCATTTGCCTAAGGCCCTGGAGGTTCGATCCCCAATACTGCCTAGAGAACTAAGAAATGTGTTAACTTTTTGCATCTCTCACTCCTCATATGTGTGACTCAACTAAGTCGTCTGTCCGGAAATTTCATCAGGCTTTTCTTTCAAATTTCAGGCATAGCAATAAATTGCCACGCATGTGCTTATATGAATGATGATGGAAAATGTCTTCGTGGTGAAGGAGTATGCACCACTCAAAATTCCCAGCAGTGCATGTTAAAGAAGATCTTTGAAGGTAGGAGGAACTACCTGGGATAAACTTGCCAGAGAGCACATTCAACCATCTTTCAAATAAAAATGGTAGCATACTGGGGGAAGACGGGGAGGGATCAATGAACTTGGGGAGTCAGAAGAAGTTCATTCCTTCAAAGACTGAACAGAATTCTAGGTACTAACAGGCCTAAGGCTCTTAAGGGAGGAAGAAGAAAAAAGAAAAGAAATTGAAAAGAGGCTTTCTTCAGAATAAAGAAACCTTTAAGTTGTTCATTGAGCTACTTATATAATGGCTCTACTCAGAACTGTCCAGTTTGTTCATGACTGTATCTTCCTAGGACACAGCACAATGTATAAGAAATGGTAGGCATTTAGTAGACACTGAATAAACTATCCAACAACTGTCTACAGACCTATGTGCAGAGGGTAACAAAACTGAGTGCACATTCTCACACCTCTCAACCCTTACAACACTTGGCATCCATCTCCAAAACAAGGGATTTTGGCTACTTCCATTCCATTAACCATACTGCCTGGCTCTGGTTTGTCCAACTCCTTGAGAGAAATATCCTCCCTCTATTTCTATAATCATACATTTAACCATCACTGAATAAACATCAACCACTCATACCACGAGCCTTTGAGAAAGATGCATCAAATACAATGTGTACAAAAAGACTGTGGTCTAACATAATATTAGAGAAAAGTGGCGAGGTGATCCGTGTCTTTTCTCCATATTTGGGAGGCTAAGGTAGGAGTATTAAGCTCAGCACACCAGCCTGGGCAACAGCAAAACCATGTCTAAGGAAAAGAAAGAGGGCAAAGCACACAGAGTGCTGGAAGGGAAAGAGAAGCAGGCGAAAGGAGAGGGTCTTCAGAAAGAACACGGAAAATCCAGTAGTACCCAGTCTGGGCTACACATTAGAATCACCCAAGCAGCTTTTTAAAATCCTAATGCTCCAAACCTGCAAGCTGGCTCAGTGAGTAAAGGTGCTTGCCCACCAAGCCTAATGACCTGACTTGTACCACAGCAACCAACATGGCAGGAGAGGACCAACTCTTACAAGTTGTCCTCTGACCTTCCTACACACATGACCACACACATACGCACACAAAATAATGTTAAAAATACCAAATAAAATAAAAATTCTCATGTTCATCTTGTAGCAATGAAATACCAGAAATGAAGAGAACTACTGATTCAGTCATTCTGCAGAGACATTCCAAAAACAAACACCAAAGCCAAATCAGGAATTTAAGATATAGACAGGAAACACAGCAAAGTTCTTTTGGGTTTGGCAAGTAGAGTAGAAGAAAATACATTAAGAAATGTTGATTGGTCAAAGCAAAATCATCCAAGACTCTCAAAGGCTGAGTAAGGTTAATCAGGAAAGCAAATAGGTACAGGGAGGATGGTAGAGTTCCATTTGAGACAGGTAAATTTTAGTTGTATTATCTGCATGGAAATGATCACGTAAGTAGAAAGGGGAATTGACTTGGGTCAGTAGAGATAAGTGAACTCAGAGAAATAGAAGACAGAAAATTAGGGGAAACCTTAACAGAAGAGTGTCAAGAAAGGGGTAAACAGTATCAAGTTCATGCAGAAATGGTAGGAGGGGAGGCATGGAAAATGGCTATGGAATTGATTAATAGAATTGTTCTAGTGCATCTTTGAGAGAAAAGTTTAAATTCTTAGTACCTGGGGTTCAGATGTGAATGAGAAGTTAAAGCGACTAGCCAGCTAGCTAAGGTTTGTAGGGAAGGCTAATGGCGGGAGAGTAGCATGGTCAAGAGAAAAAATAATGAGCTTGGTGAACTTGACCATTAGAGGGAGAGAATGAAGAAATAAAAAAGAGGAACGGGCAGCTGGGAAAGAGAGAAGACAAAAGGAAGGGGACAGGAAAATATACACAAAGAAGTCCTGGTCATCCCTGCATGGGAACACTGGGAACCATGGATAAAGGATAAGGTTGAGAGAAACAGTTTTCTGTTAATGCCAGTCCGATTCTTCCCCTTCCAGGTGGAAAACTCCAGTTCATGGTTCAAGGGTGTGAGAACATGTGTCCATCTATGAACCTCTTCTCTCATGGAACAAGAATGCAAATTATGTGCTGTCGGAACGAACCTCTCTGCAACAAGACCTAGAAGCCTATGCCCCCACTTCTTGCTCTGACTCAGGCAGCTTCGCCACTCTACATGGTTCAATTTATAGTCATGTTCATCTAATCACATCTGTCTCCACCTGATCAGACAAGAAGCTGGACTCTTATCTTTATTAAAAAACCCCATCGCCTATGTCCTCTGCCTTCCTTGCTCCTCTCCTTCCCCAGATTTTCTTTTTTGCAATGAATTCCTATTATTAAAGAACACAGGCTACAGTCAGATTGTTTTTCATCAGTCTAGTTGCAGACTTGTTTCTTTCCATGACCAAATAAAGTGAATGTTTTGCACAATCATTTATGAAAGCTGAAGAGGTCTCCTGGGTTAGATACAACAGGGAATATAAAGTACATATTAATCTTTCATGGATCAAAAGTAATAATGCAGGTCTGTCCCCTACACCCTTCGACTTGTAGTACACACAACTCAGTGCTTTTGTTTTTGAGCTTTTCAGTCTTCAACGGTTCACTATTAACACAATGGAAACAAAATACTCCTTTTGATTTAAGCAATCTGTAATACTTAAATCATGTTCAGAGGATCATCTACTCAGTCACAGAGGAAGGAGCAGGTGGAATACTGAACAGTCCTTCACCTCAAGGTGTTTTCACATGTATGGTTGCTCCTTATTCTCAGGAAAGAACCAGAGGGTAGAGTGAGGACAGCATCATCCTTACTCTACAAACAAGGAAATGTGACACACACGATTGTTTAGTTAGACTCCACATTATTACAAACTGACGAAGGTTACAGAACTAGGGGACCCACAGCTGGATTACAAAACCAAATACGCATGACTTTAAAGTTGCGTCTTCACATTAAATATCATCCAGCCAGTCCTCTCTTCCCACACACACATTCCTCTCCTTTTATCCATCACTTCTACATGACTGAAGGCTCAAGATCAGCTGCTGGTCTTGATGTACATTGCAAAGCAACAGACTTTAATTTCAACAAAATAATTTACCACTTTTTAAATACTAAAGCTTTTTGTGTCATGACTTTTATTTATTTATTTATTTTATTTATTTTTTATTTATTTATTTATTTATATCTTACTATCTTACTCTGTAGTCCAGGCTAGCTTATAATTTACTGTGTAGCTCCAGGCTGGTCTCAAATTTGTAGCAATTCTCCTGGCTCAGCCTCCCTTGTTCTGGGATCATAAGTATAAGCTACCATGCATAAGAACTCCTGTACATCATAAAACAGTGTCAGTTATAGAACATGTAAATACACACATACACACACCAACACACAGACACACTCACTCATACAAACGGCCCTTCTCAAGAACCATCTGAAAAAAAAAAAAAAAAAAAAAGAACCATCTGAATAACAAGTTCCACTGACAACAAATCTAGGCTGAAAGAAATTTCAAACATATAATCTTATCTTTAGATCAAATGGAATTAAAAAATTAGGGCCTGAAACTAAAATCTAGAATTCTCAATTTGCCATATGGTTTACAAGGAGGAGCAAGAAGAAAAGCAAACCCTGTTAACAGGGTTGATACAACTGGCTCCTCTGAGGGGAGGGGATAAAGATCTACTAGCTATAGGCACTGGGAAAATAAAAATTCAAGCGTGTTATTAAAAGCTAAGAGTAAGAGTTCTGGCTTTCACCTATGGGGACCTAACCTATCACAATTACACATTACATACTCAATCAAAAACAAAAAGTAAGAAAAGCTTCCAAAATTCTCCTGAAATAGAGAAGTCACTACAAACAAAAGCAGCCCTGAGTGAGATGTGTGGGCTTCTGCATGGTTAACTTTCAACCCACACCTGACAGGATGACAAAAGCCCGCAGTCAGTGGTCAGAGGCTTCAGGGAATACTGGCTAGGGCTGGCCAAGCAGCTGTAACTGGGAGAATGCCTGGCAAAAAGAGTCACAGGAGAGAAACACAATTGAGGATCTACTCTGACCAAATTCTTGGCTGATCTCAATTCTAAGAAGCCCAGTAACAGTAGTATCTGAAAGCTGAAAGACAGAGAAGTGTGCTGTGCAGTGCAAGCCTCCATGCTAATGTTCCACTAAAGCAAAGACCAGCACTCTTCATGGCGTCCAGAATCTCTACAATTCAGCATCTACTACTACATAATAACTTATTAGGCATAGGAAAGGCAAGGAACTATATAACCAGTAGCCAAGGGAGAAAAAGGCAGTGAATCAAGACAAGTTCATGAGCATGAAGAAGAAGGAGGAGGAGGAGGAGGAGGAGGAGGAGGAGGAGGAGGAGGAGGAGGAGGAGGAGGAGGAGGAGGAAGAAGAAGAAGAAGAAGAAGAAGAAGAAGAAGAAGAAGAAGAAGAAGAAGAAGAAAAAGACTGAAACAAAATAAACAGCTGAGTACACTAACTGGAAAAAACATCACTAGATGATTGTAACAGGGTATTGGGGCCCAGATAAGACATCACTCAATGTGAAGATAAAGCAGTATGCAATTGGAAGAAAGGAACAAAGCTTCAACAAGTAATAAATTGTTACCGAACACTTTAGCATTTAAATAACATAATTTACCCATACTGGATGAAGAATAAACTTACAGATCCATAGCAAGATAAACAGAAAACTGAAGGCACACAATACTCAAAATATTTAAAGAGGAAGAGAATAAAATACCAATGTTGGCATTACCGGCTTCTGCTCCACCCTCTAAGCAGCAAGCCATACTTAGGAGCAATCGCCCAGTTGTCAAAACCTGTTCTCCAACTGTGGGAACAGACCTTATTTGCAACCTTCTAGCCCTTTGGGAGATGACTGATAGACAAGTCTATTTCTCCTAATTTAAGCATTTACTCAGGAAAAAACAAAACGGCTGGGATCTCAAGTTGGGAAAAACTAGGGGAAACAATGAATAAAGCTCCAGAGGGACTAAAGACAGGCACCGACCTGAACATGAGGTTATGGCCAGAGGAATACAACAGAATATGCAAACTCCAGCTTGGCATGATAGAAACACTTCTAACCCCAATACTTGAGAGATGAAGGCAAGCCGATGAGGAGTTCTAGGCCAATCTAGGCTACAGGAGAAACCATCTTCTGAGACTGGTAAAGCATCTGCCCCTCAAGCAGAAGGACCTGAATTCAATACTCAGCATCCATGAAAAATGCCAGCCCTGTGTATGCCTGTAGCCCCCATAACATACACAAATGGACATACACATGTGAACACATTAAAAAAATAAAAATAAACAGGTAAGCAAAGCAAGCAGCTATATCCACAGAGGAATTGAGAAAAGGTACACAAAGGCAAGATGAATAAGGAGAGACCCAGCCCTTCACAGCAGCTTGAACTGAAGACTCGAAACATGCCTTGCTGTTTTGACGTGGTCTGTTTTGAACAAAGCAACTTTAAGAGAAGTGTTTGTTTTTCAAGCAAAAAGCAAATTTTAAAGATTTATTTTTATTATTTTGTAATTATGTGTGTATGGATGAATATGTGCACTTGAATACAAGTGCCCACAGAGTCCAGAAGAGTGTGTTGGATCCCCTGGAGCAGGCTATAGGTAGATGGCTGTGAGCTGCCCTGTGTGAGTGCTGGGAACTGGATTTGCATGCTCTTCAAGAGCAGCAAACTCTGAACCACTAAGGCCTCAAGTGCCAAACTTTCAACAAAGCTTTTGTAAGACATGCAAATAAAGAAGAACACTGACAGTACTGAAACACTCTCTAAAGAAACAGAGAGATTCAGCCAGGCGGTGGTAGCGCACACCTTTAATCCCAGCACTTGGGAGGTAGAGGCAGGCAGATCCCTGAGTTCGAGGCCAGTCTGGTCTATAGAGCGAGTTACTGGACAGGCAGGGCTACACAGAACAACCCCATCTAAAAAAAAAAAAAAAAAAAAATTTAAATCAAGGGTCTCAAGTGTGTTCAAAGAACAACAGGTTTCAGTCAAAGAACTGCGAGTAATCAGAAAACGATATGTAAAGAGACATATCAGTGCCAGAAGAGTTCAACAACAGATTTAAATTAATCAGCAACTTCTTTCTTAAGATCTGGGGATTAAATCTAAGGCTTCAATCACTCACATTAGGCAGGTGTTCTACCTTGACCCATATTCCTATGCCATCATCAGCGCCTCTGAAGATGGGTCACTTAAAATTGAATCTAAGGAATGGGAGAGGGTTGAAGTAATAATTTAACTGACTTAAAAGACACTGTCAAGCAATTAGTATTGTGAGATCCCACAGGCAACAAAGGATGGACAGAGAGCATGTGAATGAAATTTTTCCAAATCAGAAGACAGACACGGACCTACAAACACAGGGAACACAATGAACTATAGGGATGATAACCCAGGAGAACCACACTGAGACACACATACTATCAAAACACTCCCAAAAAATAAAGACAAAAAAGGAATCTTGGAAGCATCAAAGCAACTCACTGAACAGAAAGGATCCTAAATATGATTCTCCATTAGCTGGATACAGTGGTATACACTGGAAGCTGAGGCAGAAGAGTTGCAAGTTTAATGTGGGCCTGAATTACCAGTGAGGTCCAAGTCAACATGGGCCACATAGTGCCACCCTGTCTCAAAAACGACTTTTTTAAAAAAAGATTATTAATTTCCCAGCAGAAACCTTGTAAGCCAAAAGGCAATGAGGTAATATACACATTACTGAAAGAAAAAAAAAATGACTGAAGACTATCTACTAAAAATTCAGTGTCTGATAAAATAAAATTGTCCCTTGGAAATGAAGGCAAATTAGCATTCAATAGGATGGGCTAAAGAAACTGATTATAACCATCCCTGCTATGTGAGAAATGCTAAAGATGGTCCTTCAACTTGAAATGAAAGAATGCTAGATAACAGTAAAAAATTAGGATACAAAGACCTCTGAAAAGATAACTATAAGAATCCTAGGGATTAAGGATACAGTTCAATGATAAAGTGATTACCCGGCTTGATTGTGGCCCTACGTTGGATCCCCAGCAACAACAAAGACATAACAACAATTATTTAAAAGCCAAGTATGCTGAAGATGTTGATCAGCTGCCCCTCCAAGTAAAAGCAGGCATAGTACCATATATCTGTAATCCCAGCTCTTGAGAGGTGGAGACAGGAAGGAGGGGAATTCAAAGCCATCCATTCATACAGAGCAAATGAAAGGCCAGCCTGGATTACATGAAATCCTGCTTCAAAAGAATGAAAGAAAAAAGAAAACAAAACGTGGATCTATTGCAGTGTACGTACAGCATTTAAAGATAACATTTGTGACATTACTAAGATTACACAGGAACCAACACAGCTGTAAACACGGGTGTTCTGCCGCAGTCAAGTTAAACACGGCACACTGCATCCCCGGTACCTGGGCCACTCAGGCAGGAGGGGAAGAGCCAGCCTGAGACAGAGAGTGAGTTCCAAGGCCAGTCTGAGCTACAAAGTGAGACCCTGTCTCTTAAAAAAATAATAAAACAAAAAAAAAACTTAGTTGCTATTAATTTTAAATAGATGGCCAGGTGGTGGTGGCCCATGCCTTTGATTCCAGCACTCGGAATGCAGAGGCAGGCGGATCTCTATGAGTTCAAGGCCAGCCTGGTCTACAGGGCAAGTCCCAGGACAGCCAGGACTGTTATATAGAGAAACCTTGTCTCAGAAAACCAAAAGAAAAAAAAAAAAAAGTTTAAATAGATTGTTCTACTTTACAAGAAAAGACAGCAAGAGTAAAAGTAACATAGCTACTATAGCAAACAATATTACAGTGCCTGAAAATATTAAAAACACAATTATCACATGACCTATCAATTCTACCTCTGGATGTATATAAAAGAATTAAAAACAGAGACTTGAGTAGATATTTATATATCCGTGTTCACACGAGGATCATTTACAGTGGACAAAAGGTGGCATCAATCCAAACATACATGATCATATAAAAAAGTAAGTGCACGTGTGTGCGTGGGCCATGAAAGGCCAGCCTGGATTACATGAAATCCTGCTTCAAAAAGAACAAAAGAAAAAAGAAAAAACGTGGATCTATTGCAGTGTACATACACAATTGTGGAATATTAGTCACAAAAGGAAGGAAGTATGAAATAAGCCAAACACAAAGAAACAAATATACAATTCTATTTATGTGGAGTACAGGAGTATTCAAATTCATGAGACAAAAGGCAAAACGGTGGGTGTGAAGGGCTGGCAGGAAATCAGTGAGTCATGATTTGATAGAAACAGGCTCTGGAGACAGTAGTACATCCCATCAGATGAAAAAGACAGTCACATAGAACTGCACAGCTCAGACCAAACTTGGAATTTTAACTATGATGAAAGTTGTAACTATTGGGAGTGGGGCAGGGATCTGATTTACACTTTAGAAGGATCATTCTGACAGCTTTTCTAGAAAATAAACTACCAAGAAATAAGTAACATTTTTTTAAAAATGACTGATTTTAACCAGTGGTACTACGATGTGAAAAACAGGAGACCAACTAAAACTAGGCTCAGGTTTACTTCTGAGTACAGGAGAGGTAAGTATGGCAGCACACACCAACATGTAATAAACTGCAGCCCTAAGATGCTAAGTGTTCTTAGCTTCAGACTAATTAACATTGTCATTTACCTACAAATAGGAATACACGACCCCAATCATATAATTCATATTTTAATATAAATTTTAGGAACAAAATGAGGTTTTCGTGAGTCTAAAAGGCAAGGAACAAGAATCAGGCCTATTCTTGTGTTTCCTTACACACACACACACACACACACACACACACACACACACACACACACACCCCGGCCCCTTTTAGTCAGTGTCATCTAGAAACTTGATGGCCAATAAGTTCACTAAGTTAGGAATTGATTTTAAAAATAGAATTTATTTCTAGAGTTAAAATATGACTGTGAATGTACAAAAAGTTATTCAAGTGTGTAATTTAAAGTAAGATAAGCACCAGAGCTTATGTTTAACTTCTTCAAAGACCAACCAGTGCTTTATACTTGACTAGCTACACCAGGGGGGAAAAAAAGCTTGTAATTTTAATCATAACTCAACAACAGTTTTCTAGAACTGGTCAAGCCCTTGTGCAGCGCACACACCCAAAGTGAAAATACAGCACATATCTTGGGATACACTCTTTGTAGCAGGCTCGCTTCATGGATCAATCAGCTGTACATGGTCTTTGTTTATTCATCCTTACAATTAAATAGCAGAGAAGAAACATGTTTTCTTAGAACGAAGCAAAATGTTCTCATTTTCTTTTTTTTTTCCCAGAAGTCATACTACATTGGTATAAAAGCTTGCAAACTCATGTATCCCAAAAGTTGGTTTCTACCAGATAGGTTTCAAATTCAGACCATTTAAACACAGCTGGAGAAATACCTAATGAATTTGATCCATCCTTTCCCCAAAGTATTACATACAATTAAAATACAGTATTATTTGTATGCAAAACATACTCAGAATTGGAAGATGTTTGGATAATAGGAAGAGAACTCTTCAAAAACTATTGTTTGCAGTTTGCAGAACAGGATAATCTTCTCTAGGAAGAATAATGTCAACATAGCAGCACTATAGTCACCAGGAATCTCCAGAGCTGACAGCTTCATCATGTAACAGGAAACCAAACCTTCTGGCTGCTCACAACATCACTGAGCTTCCCTTTAATCTTCAGGAAGTGTCTCTTGAACTCTAATCCATCGCCCTATTTTAGGAATATTATTTTAAAAATATAAAAAAAAGATTGTGTCAAAAGATCATATTATCATTCCTGGTCAGTAGAAACAAACATCCTTAGGTATGTTAGTTATGGCATCCCTCAGGTCTTTTTTTTCCCTCCTCTCTGTTCTTCTGAGAAACTGGATTGCAGGTATATACCGCTCCAGTTAGTTTTTCATTCCACATAAATCTTTAGCATTTTGACTTATTTGAGCAGGCTATTATAACATCTTATGGGTTCTTCACTAATAATTTATTAAATGCAACCTGATTCCAGTCCATTTGTGAAGACCAAATATTCTGGTGGAAATGGCTACATAAATAATTCTCACCTGATCATATTCTCTTCACTTTCTCACCACAATGAGCTGAGAAAGCAGAATAATGGCATTTTTTGTTGTTGTTGTTTCAAGGGTTAGTACCTTTGGACCTACACCAATTGTTTTCCATAAGCAGCAAGAATTTGTGAACTAAAAACAAGCCACACTGAAGTTGTCACAATTTTATCACAAAAAAGTCCGCTAAACTCCGTTATGACAATAGTTTCAATGAGAAGCCTTCATAATTTAATTGCATAGCAAGAATCTAGAAAAGAATACTGCAACTAATCTCCAATATAAAGAATGTGAATTACTCTTCAACCAGCTCTAGAGCCCCATATAAACTCTCAGGAAACAGACATTATACTGGTTTGGTTTTATACAGAGTAGGCTTTAAAACTAAAAATAATAGTTGAGTAAAATCATAATATTAATCACAAAATGAAGATCATTACATTATAATGTGAAAGCTTCTTAATGTCATAATTTGTATTAAACAGACAAATGTTATATATGAATCAAAATAATTTGAGTATTCCAAAGTACTACAAATGATAACTAACTGTTGGGAAGTATACTTTAAAATTATTTTTATTCTTTTACTCTCTACTTCTCTGTATGTTACAAAAAAAGAAAAAACAATTTTTTAGGGGGAACAAGGTCCCACGTAGTGCTGGCCTCAAACTAGCTGTGAGGCCTCAGATGGCACCAATTCCTGGTCCTCCTCCCTGCTGATTTGCGGAGAATACAGGCATCACTGCCACACCTGGTTTTATCTGGTGCTGGGGATCCAATCCAGAGCTTTGTGCATGCTAAGCAAGCACTCTACAAACTCCAGTGCATCCCCAGTCCCTCAAGATTTTTATTCTGAGAAGGAGTCAGGAAAGAAAAGAGAAAAACAACCAAAATAATTTTCCAAAAAATAGATGACGACAAAATTCAAAGTTTGTAACACTAAGTGAAAATGAACTAGTTACAGTGTATTTACAAATTCATGTGGCTATACTCCAAAACATTCTGTGAGGGTCTGAAATCACATAGAATGGAACTTTGCATGGCCTATATACCATATGCATTCCTATGTATACACGGCTACGATATAGTTTAATCTATAAATATGGCATAGTAAAAGTAACACAATTAGTAGTAAAACAGAGCAATTGTTAATAAAATATTCTAGAATAAAATTGCCAGCATTACTACCTTTGGAGCCATTACTAAGTAACTGCTACCCCAAAACAAAAAGCATGAAATACTGTGACAGTCAATATGAAAGCCAAAATTAGAATAGGCAAGTAATATATATATAACCTGAACAAAAATATATGCATAAGATATTTACTCTAGGCAAAGAGAAAATTCAGGTCCTAGTTGGGAAATAGTGTAAGACAGCATAAGGACTCGTCATGCGCACTGGAACTGTGCTCGACCTAAAAAACTCCAAGCAATAGTGCGAGGGGTGGACTGCAGTATATAACACATAAAACCACTGAAAAATTCACACAGAAGAAATATTTCCATAGAAAAAATACTATGAATAAAATACTTTAAAAAATACCTTAGAAAGCCGGAAGTCAACCAGTATCTTCTCATCCATTTCTACCAAATTTATTTTGAAAATCAACTTATTGTTTCTTCTATCAGTTGTTGATACAGTGACCTAAGGCGATAAAATTAAGGTCAAGCTACAAACACACATGAATAGAAAATACTCTTAACAAAACCTCTGTCTCAACAGGTCAGTAATACTTTTGGGATAAAAATGTATACTACAATCCTCGCACAACAGGAGTGGCATAAAGAGCACTTTAAATTACAGGCCTAGAGACAGTCACTCTTCCAGAGGACCTGAGTTCCATTCCCAGCACCCACGTCAGGAGGCTCCCAATCACCTATAATTCTACCTCCAAAGGATCTGATGCCTCCACACACAGACACTGACATATACATGCACACAGACACTCTCATGTATACAAGTGTAAAAACAAATCTTAAAAAAAAAAAAAAAAAAAAAAAAGACTGCTCTCTCTCTCCATTGGGCAAGTCTGCATCCAATCTAAACCAAGCTGTAAGTAGAACTCTAAGTGAACTTTTAGTAACAAAGGAAGACATTTTAGCAAAGCAGAACTGAAAGAAAGGATCAAAAGGAATAGGAATGTAATGAAGACTTGGGATGTAGCTTGGCGGCACAGCACCTACCCAACATGGACAAGGCCTGAGTTCAATCCCCAATACTGTAGTCAATCAATCAATCTCATATATGAGAAAGAAAACAAGATTATTACAAGAAAGAAAATGAGAAGCTGTATCTATGGCTGAAAAGCTGCAATACCAGTGAGATGATAGTGAAGGTTTGGAGAGGTCTCACAACTCCCACTTCAGTTCCCCATTCCTGTTCACTTTGGGTTTTTTTAAATATTCCCACAAGAGGACTGGTGTAAAGAAAAGTCACAGCCAAGAGCCGGCACACGACCCAAACACTTAAGTAAAGACACTGTCAACTCCAGTCTAATATAAAAATGCTAACATTAGAGATTTGGGACCCCCCCAAAAAAAAAAATCTTCAAACCTTCAATTGTTTCTTTTTCAAATTAATTACTTGTATTTTCAAAGCACTCACTGACTACTGATAACGTTTTAATTTTCTATGGTTAAAAAATAATAACTGAAAACTAATAAAACATGCCTGGTTCATACAACTCTTTTTCCACTGATAGCCCAACTTCTCGAAGGTCTCTTTCAGGCACTGGTAAGATTTGTCTGCATCCAGTTTGGTGAAGAAGCGTGTCATTCTTTTGACCAAGCGCTGCCAGGGGTTCTACACAACAAAGAAGAAAGCTGGATAAATCCAGTGTGACCAGTTTACAGCAACAGTCTGAAATTCTTTTCCTTGACTTGGGATTCTCACCCATAAAGGCCTCCTCTAAGTATTTCTTCCTTATCCAAACAATATGTACCAACTACAAGTAGTAATCACATATACCCGAAGATTTAAGACAACAAAAATAAAAGGCAACGGTTATTTATCAGAAAACTTCAATTCCTTACCTGTGAGGATCCAGGGGTACCAAGTAACTGACTGTTTACAAGCATGTGATCAGGACACGTAGGCTGTGAAAAGCTGATGCCTTGTACCAGTTTGTCAACGTAGGAGGAACCAGTGTCCCACAAGGAAAGCCCTGTCCGTGGCTCTGGCTGGGAACTAGAGAACTTCACATTTTCTTCACTGAGACATTAAGACAGAAGAAAAAAATGTCTTTAATTCTCGGTTTTTAAGATGTTTCATTCTTTTTAACTATTTATTTTGTGTTTCTTTCTCTTTTTTTTGAGATAAAATTGCATCTTGCTGCCTAGACTGGCCTGGAACTATCCATCCTCCTGCTTCAACCTCCCAATTAGCAGTTATCTGTGACTAGAAGTATGTGTGCTACAGTGTTAGACTAAAAATATCTTTAAATAAAACCCACCAGGCCCTTCTTATATCATACAATCGTTCTCATTTTGGTGAAATTATTTGCATTATTGAGTAAAATATATACATTTTATTCTTTATGGGGAATAACTACATTTTTAAAAAAACAACTTAATCTGCCAATGCATTGTGGTGCACATCTGAAATCCCAGCACTCAGGAAGCAAACGCAGGAGGATTAGTACAAGTTCAAGACCAGTTTGGGCTACCAATATCCAGTTCAGTCAAGGTTACATAGTAAGACCTTTCCTCAAAAAGAAAGAGAGGAAGAAAGAGAGGAAGAGAGAAAGAAAGAAAGAAAGAAAGAAAGAAAGAAAGAAAGAAAGAAAGAAAGAAAGAAAGAAAGAAAAAGAAAAAATAATTCGAATTCTTACCTGGAAGCACTATTTACTGGAGAAAAGTCCAAATTGGAATGAATGTGCTTAGAGAATCCACTAGAAGACTCTGACATACCACCTGAAGTGGCTCGAGGCCTCTTTGCACCTAAAAAGGAACAAATACAAATCTCCTATGAAAGTATTAACTAATCTAACTGGCAATTTGAATAAGTAGAGCCACATCTAAATCCATTTATTGAACATAAAATAATATAAAGTTGTTTTTTTAAACGATTTTTTTTTTTAAGATTTATTTATTTATTATGTATACAGCATGTATGACCGCAGGTCAGAAAAGGGCGCCAGATCTCATTATAGATGGTTGTGAGCCACCATGTGGTTGCTGGGAATTGAACTCAGGACCTCTAGAAGAGCAGTCAGTGCTCTTAACCTCTGAGCCACCTCTCCAGCCCTTTTTTTTTTTTTTTTTTTTTTTTTTTTTAAATTCTTTTTTTTTAAGATTTATTTATTTATTTATTATGGATACAGCATTCTGCCTACATGCATGTATGACTGCAGGCCAGAAGAGGGTACCAGATCCCATCACGGATGGTTGTGAGCCACCATGTGGTTGCTGGGAATTGAACTCAGGACCTCTGGAAGAGCAACCAGTGCTCTTAACCGCTGAGCCATCTCTCCAGCCCCCCTCTCCAGCCCTTTTTAAACGATTTTATAAGGAATGTTACATTACTGCTTCACTAAGACCACAATTTTAACGATACCTTTTATGGGTAACATGATGGTCAACAAAAGACTAGCTAAATAACTCAAACTTTTAAAATGTTTAAACTCATGATTATGACAGTGAGCACTGAATATGTTCTATCCAATACTGTTCCCTTAAAGAAGCTTTACCAAGAATAGTCAGGATACAGAAAATGAAGCCATTTTAAACTTTCATTCCTCAGCTAGACTGCAACAGTCCATGCCACCTGTCACCTCACACTTCCTCAAAAGGGATTATTTCAAAACTTCTATTCTCTTCTGAAATTATCAATACCATCCTCCATTCCATCATTACTTAGCATGATATACTATCCTACTTTTAGAAAAAATAATACCAACAGACCTGAACTAACTCTGCACGTCACTACCAAATCTCCATATATACTTGCTTATGCCTCTCTTCCTCCTTGTATCCTCCCCTCAAATGTCAAGCCTGATACTTGTACTATGGACCCATTACCCCTTCCTCAACACACACACACACACACACACACATACACACACACAAAATCTTCCTCAGAAACCCTGATCTTGATGTTCTGTTACTCATTCCTCTTTTCTTAAGTTTCACCCTCTTCCAGCCCACAGCCACTTTCAGCCAAGGATAGGTACAGGTATAGTACAATACAAAATCATAAAGTTACTTAAAACATCTGAACTCTTGTGCAGTCCCTGACTATGAACATTAGACCATAATATCAAAAGGTTGAACACACCTACATCTATTAGATCTGTCCCTAAAGCCATTTAATAATGCTTAGTGTTAACCAATATTTTTTATTAATCCACTCACTAAAATGCTTTATTGGGGTTATGTAATACTAGGCATTACCCTAGTACTAGGTATTCAACAGTGAACAAAACTGACAAAAAACACTGACTCCTAAATCTTTCTAAACCTTTTTCCTTTATGTGAATATGTGTTTTGTCTGCATGTCTGTGCACCACACAAATGCATGCCCTCAGAGGCCAGAGAGTATCAGACCTCCTGGGGTTTGAGTTACAGATGCTGTGGGCCCCCATGTAGGTGCTGGAATCAAACCCAGGTCCTCTGGAACAGCCAGCATCTTCTCACATCTAAACCACTACTGTAGAAGCCCACATTACTTAATCTCGTCCTATTCATTGGAGTATTCAGAAAGATCTTTTAAAACCAAACACATCAACTTATCATTTTCTTGCTTTTGAAGCCCCTCAAACTTGTCCTAATGGTAGTAAGCTTCAGGATAAATCCTTAGCGCAGCTCATAAAGCCCTCCTATAACTGGGCTATCTGCCTTTCCTGAATCAGCTCAAACCTCTCACTCTCCCAATTCTCTATCCACTCACTCAGTCAACATTTACTGCATACCTATGACACATGGATTACCATGTTGACCACTGGTTAGTGATGCACACGAAACACAAGGTCCATGTCATAGTGAGCTGACCTTCAAGTTCTTCAAATACATTTAATGTACAAAATCTATTTGTCCAAATGCTGCTGCTTCTGTAGAGAATCAAACATGCCTCGCCTGCTAGCTCCTTTTAATCTTCAAAATTTACATTTCCGGCCATGTCTTCATGAGGAAAAGTCTTCCTTGTTTCATTAGACCTCGTCAAAACATTGAGTTATAGCACTCTTTTTAGTTGTTAATAAACAATATTAATTTCGAAATTGTTTTTCCTATTAAATACTAAAATCTTCATTTGGGCAAACGAGAGTTATGACATGGGTTTGTGGTATTTTGTTAAGCATATTTCACAGAAGAAAACAAGTGTACTTTGTTTTTTACCTCGGTTAAATGGTTTGTTGTACCATCTATCCTTTTTAATGTCTGGGATGGTAATCCTTGCTGATGGATTCTCAACTAGAATTTTATGAAGCAAAGCTGAAAACAAACAAGACAGTATTTGTAAAAGAGTTAAGCAGATTAGATAAAACTTAAAAGACACAAAAGCCAGGCACATGGCACACTTGAGAGGCACAGGCAGGGTGTTTAAGAATGAGGCCAGCCTGGGACATACATATTAATTTTAAAAAGAACTCATACAATTAATTCTCAACATCAAAAATGTAAACTAGAACTGAAAAGTGACTCAAGCTTGTAGTCCCAGCACTCAGCAGGCTGCAAGGATTGCCACAGTCAGGTTCTGCCTGAGTTTCAGGTCAGCATGGACTAACAGAGACCTTGTCTCCAAAAACAAACAAGCCAAGCACGTTAGCATCTGAACACCAGTATCTGGAGGTAGAGACTGGAGGATAAGGTCATCCTCTATTTATTACACAGGGATCTGCTTAGGCTAAATGAGACTGTTGCAAAATCAAAGCCAACAACAATAAAATGTAAAAATTAAACCATAGAAACACTAAATGAGAACGCAAAAAAAAACTTTTAAAAAATATCAGGGTAGAAAAGACCTAATTATGGCAATACAAGTCAAAAACCACAAATGACAACATTTTAGATCATGAAAAATTTACAACATCTGCATATTAAAATAACCATCACAGTTAAAATAAATGACAAACTCTAGGAAATACTGTAACAAACACAATAAATAATATGAATAAATTTTTGGAAAAGGCCCCAAGGGATTAAGAAAAACTATAAATTTCATTGCCAAAACTAAGCAAATCTGAAAAAGCTAGTAAGTTACATAAGGAGGTAGGCAACTCACTCTTAATATTAAATTTAAAACAAAATTTAAGAAGCAATATCAGTTACAGACATACTGGTTAAAAAAAATTATTTTGCCAGGCATGGCAGCATACACATTTAATCCCAATATTCAGTAGGCAGAGGTAGACTAATCTCTCTGAATATGAAAGTCAGCCTGGTCTACACAGTGAGTTAAGGGCCAGTCACGGATACATAGTGAAACCCAGTGTTTCAAAATATAATGTAAAAAAGTAACGTAAAAAATGATGAAATGGTACAAACTTTAAAAAAAATAAATTTGTAAAATAAGTCCATAACATTTAAAAAGATACATACTCTCTTAACTCTGCATTTTTGCTTGTGGGAGAAGGGAAAATTTCTTTTTTCTCCTTTTTTTTTTTTTAAAGGAGAAATTTTTAAGCAAATAATTAAAGGATATACACAAGCATCAAGTAACAGAGATGTTATCATACCTCTTCGCTAAAAGTAAAATTAAAGGAAAAAAAAAAAAACTAAATCTTAAACTTGATGAGTAAGACATAGCCATATAATGAATACCATCAGTCTTTAAAAGTATGATCCAGACCAGTAATTACAAATACAGGAAAATGCTGAGTATCAAAAATGAAAAATAGGTTATGAAAAATAAAGTACTAGGGTTTAATTTTTGCAAAAGTATATACTTATAACTAATATATATATAATATATATGTAGTACACATTTGCTATATATTTTTTACATGAAAGCATAGGCACATATATCAGAATACCTTTAAAAGGCTATTTCCAAATGCCACAATTATAGCTGTTTCCTTCCTCCTTCCCGCTCTCTTTCTTGAGATGAGGTCTCACTATGTAGTCCTGGCTGGCCTGGAACTCCCTATGAAGGCCAGGCAGGCTCAGAGATCCACCTGCCTCTGCTTCCTGGGTGCTGGGATTAAAGACAAGTGCCACTACATCCAATCATTTTTTAATTTTTACATATATTTTCTAAGTTAGCTAAAAGTACTATAGATCACTTACATTTTTTTAAAAAAAAAAGGAAGAGAAGGAAGAAAGGGAGGAAAAGAGGGGGAGGAAGGGAAGGAGGGAGAAGAAAGGAGGGAAGGAACAATCAGCTAGCATGAGACTTAATTACCCACAAAATCAGTATTTTCAATCTAACAACCAGTTACCCAGAGGAGCAGAATCAATTTTTTTCCAAGGATTGAGATAGGTTTTTTTTTCTTTCCAATCAGAATATTCCTGACAGCTGTCACTGGGCTGGTCCCACGGCAACTCTAAAAATGAAACAAGTTTCAGTTTTCTGAGTGTTCACAAAATTATGTAATAAAAATTTCAAGGAAAAATAATCACACAATAGAATAAGTGAACAATACATAAAAAGAATACAAGTTTCCTCCATAGTAATTCAATATGGTTTTCATACTAAGTTTCATTGAAATCTACTCTTTCACATGAAGGTTAGAGATACGGGTTAGTGACGGAGTGCTTGCCTGGTAGGTGTTAAACCCTAGGTTCAATCTCCGGCAACCCCAAAGGAAGTGTTGAGATTTCCATTTAACAGATATAATTCATATAAATGAATCTCTCTCTGGATAACAAGTTTCAAGGTAGTGAGAAATAAGATGTTCATTTAATTAATTAATTTATTTATTTATTTATTTATTTTGTTTTTTGAGACAGGGTTTCTCTGTGCAACAGTCCTGGCTGTCCTGGAACTCGCTTTGTAGACCAGGCTGGCCTCAAACTCAATGAGATCAGCCTGCCTCTGCCTCCCAAGTGCTAGGATTAAAGGCGTGAGCCACCACTGCCCGGCCTATAATAAGATGTTAATTATAATGGTTAAATGTTTGCTTCCCCTCTAAACCTCTAAGATAATGAAAGTGAGAGCTTGATTGGAGGTTCTAGCAGGGGACTGTAGCGACTTGTATACACTTGACTGAAGGCTGACCCTCCTCTATTCAGGGAAAGTGGTCCTCTTCAAGCCAGCCCACAACTTCAGGAGAGGAAGGCAACACCAGCCTCACAAGCCAGATCAACCAAATCAATTCCAGCGATCAACGAAGGGAAAGATGCTGCAGCCAGATCACTCACTCCCACGTTCCCATTGTGACGATTATGGAGATAGGTGACTGGGTCATGGGTAGGAAAGCCCTCAAAAGTGAGATTTGAGCCGGGCGGTGGTGGCGCACGCCTTTAATCCCAGCACTCGGGAGGCAGAGCCAGGCGGATCTCTGTGAGTTCGAGGCCAGCCTGGGCTACCAAGTGAGTCCCAGGAAAGGCGCAAAGCTACACAGAGAAACCCTGTCTCGAAAAACCAAAAAAAAAAAAAAAAAGTGAGATTTGGGTCCTTATGAAGATCCTGTAGAGTCTGCCTCGCCTCTCAGTAAGATGGTCAACTACAAGGCAGGAAGAGGGCCCTCAGAATATGGCCATGCTTGCACCTTCATCACCCAGACTTGAGGCCTTCATAATTTGTACAAAAATGGATAAATCTGCTGTTTAAGGTGCACTCACTGTATGGTACTTTGTTACTGAAGCCCAAAAGCAATTAAACACTAACAAAACTACTACAGAACTGGAGAGGTGGCTCACAGCCTTTCTATTACAGAATTAGATTCCCTTAGGTTATTTCATTTTTATTTTGGTATAAAAAATATGATTTTTCAGAGAAAATAAGTTTTCTCATAATTAAACAGCCTTACCTCCAGCCAACATTGCAGTAAGTACTATTCCACAGGACCAAACATCAACTGGTTCTGCATGAAATTCTTTTCTCTTGAGAAGCTCTGGAGCAACATAAGGTAAAGTACCACACATCTTGTTTAGTAAGCGTTCACGATTATTATGCCGAAACACTGTCGCCAAGCCAAAGTCAGAGATTTTGAGGTTATCTAAGCCAAAAGAAAAAAAGACCAGCACCGAATTAAAAGGATTTGTAAACACATATAGGAATTACTAAATAACACTAGTTTTCCTTAAGACTTGTAGAATTTCTCTACCTGAAAATCAGCAAAAGAAATCTATGTATGTGTAATGAAGAAAAATGAAAAGGCACCAATCATTTATGCCAAACTAAACTTAGCAAAGACCTCAAGTCCTTATTAACTAAAGTGATACATCATCAACACAAAAACCAGCTTGTACCAGGTCAAATAAAGATGCTGTAGACGCCCTCCTGGAAAACAAACCTGGGAAGACAGTAGAGCAAAACCCTTCACTGAGAACTGTGGAGGGTAAGAAGTCATCAGCAAAGCTTTCTCAATGGCAAACGATGTCAGTTGGCAAAAAGGAAACATATAAGGATGTATCAAACTAAACTAAAAACTGAGAAGCCACAAGAACTTGTCACAGAAGCAAATCTGAGAAAAGCAACAAAAATTCCATGCCAAAACGAGCCAGAAGAACAAACTTCCACTCTGCTCTCCCTTCTTCATCACATACGAACTGCATGAAGAACTTCCCGTTTTAACATACTAGATGAATGTCTACTGCATGCAAGTAATAGGCACTGCATTAGCCAATGCAGGTAGTAGATAAAATCAGCGAGAAAGGCTGACAATAAACCATGGTTATATGGGATACGAAAATACAGACATTATAGGATGCCGTAGCAAAGGGTCTAACTAAGGAGTTAGGGAAACCCTGTTAGGAGAGATCGTCATAGGTACAACCTTTTGAAAGCAGTGTGGCCAAGGTGTCAATCTGTGAAATTACTCACTCTTTAACAACTCTCACTCCAACTATGGAAGCAGTTAACAAAACAAGGTATACACACTCATACAAAATCAGATATTATATAGGAAAAAGGCTAGTAGCATGAACAAATCTCGTTGTAAGTATTATAAATATAAATATGTATTTTTTGTTTTAGGTAATCATTGTTCTATTTTAAGTTAGAAACAAATGTTCACACCACATATCATATATAAGCCAGTGTTATTTGTTACCTATATTTAACTTTGAGAGATACAGGTTGTAATTACATCTTCTTAATAACTATATATGATAAAATCTAGACCAACCACTGAGATCACAACTTCAAACTACTTCCAAGTAGCAGTCACTTTGAGTACTAATGGTTTACCATAGTGTCTTTGGAGTTTGGTTGCTTCATCCTGTGTGTAACATAATATTGTTAAGTTAGAGAGCTACAGATATGAATTTAACATTGAGAGATGTAATTTAGAGATATATGTGTCTGGGAAGGAAGGAATGGAAGGGAGGTTTTAGATACTGGTGGGATTTTGTTTCTTTAGCTTACTAACAAATACTAAATGGAAACAAAATAAATACACAAGAATAACAGTGTAATCAAGATGTGCTTACCAGACATTCAGCTTAACATTTGTGTGAAATTCTTAAATTAATAAATCTATATTTAAAAAAAAATAGCTGGGTGGTGCTACATCCAGGCACTTGGGAGACAGAGGCAGATCTGTTCGTTCAAGACCAGCCTGGTCTACTGAGCAAGCTCCAGGACAGCCAGGGTTACTACACAGAGAACTCCTGTCTCAAATATCCAAAATAAATAAATAAAAATAAAGAGCAGGGCTAGAGAGATGGTTCAGTGGTTAAAGAACACTGATTGCTCTTCCAAAGAGCCCTAATTCAAATCCCAGCATCCATATGGCAGCTAACAAGTGTCTGTAACTCCAGTTCTAAGAGGGTTCCGTCCCTTCTTCTGGTCTCCACCAGCACTGCAGGCACATGGTGCACACACACACTACAGGCAAAACACCCACACACACTCCCTTGCTTCTCAGAGCTGCCTACCATTCAGTTTTCTTTCTACTTGTGCTACTGTTACATGTTTCTAATCCTAAACAATAATTTGGGTTTTGGACTTCATAAAAACAGATAATGTATGAGTTTGGGATTTTGTTGTGGTTTTGTTTGTTACATTTTTGGTTTTGTTTTTGCTTTTTATCTACATCCTTTTATCCCTGAAATTCATCTGCCATTGCTTGACACTATAAATTATACATTTCAGGTTGGAAAGATGGCTCAGTGGTTAAGAGCACTGGCTGTTCTTACAGGTCCTGAGTTCGATTCCCAACAACCACATGGTGGCTCCCAACCATCTGTAATGGGAACTGGCGCCCTCTTCTGGCATGCAGGCAGAACACTGTATACAAAATAAATCTTTAAAAATAAATAAATAAATAAATAAATAAATAAAACATTTCATAATTTATCTGTCTTACAATTGGTACATATTTGGGTTGTTTTGAAATTTCTACAAACCACCAATACTATGAGCATTTTTAGATGTGAATGTTGATCTTTTTACTGTCAGGTGTGAAGATAGGATTTACTATACTTTATTACAATATGCATAAAAATTTTGTGTGCTAAGTTTTTTATGTATTTCTTAATCTAAGTTAGAATACAAAGTGAATATACCTCAACATAATAAAAGCTGTATATAAGCCTATAGCCAACAACATCCTATATGGAGAAAAATTTGGAAGCAATACCACTGATGTCAGAAATGAGGTAGGGATGTCCACTATCCCTATTCCTTTTTAAAACACTGTGCCTGAAACACTAAGTAGAACAACAGGCAAAAGGAAATTAAAGGGATACAGTAGGAAGCCAAAATATCCCTACTTGCAGATGACATACGATACATAGATATCTCAGAAACTCTACCAGAAAACCTCTAGAAATAATGAACAAATTCAGCAGTGTGGTAGGATACAGAATTAACTTGGGCAAATCAATAAGTTTTCTAAACAACAACAGACAGAGAAAGAGAGAATGCACATACTCCTATTCACACTCTAAATCTGGGCCGCCGCCTCCGGTGGCAGCCCACGGAACAGAACATGGAAGAAGGAAGCTTTGTTTTCTGTCTTCTTGCCCTCACTTTCACTAGCAAGTTCATCGTTCCTAACTCATTCTTTGGTTGGTGTTAAAACCTACTTCTTCAGGATTCCAACATGAACTGAAAACTAGGACCTCCCTGGAACTCTAGCACCACTCTGGGACTGCTAAGACATCAAGTCTTGTGGGTTAGATAACTATTGGATATTATTCCGTCAGGAGACAGCCACTGTTGGACTACTCGACCACAGGCAGTAAGCTACTCAATAAATCCCTCACCAATATACAAATATATATTAATTCATTCTACCATTCTGTTTCTTAGAGAACCCAAACGAATAAACCAAGGAAGTGAAGGACTTCTATAATAAAATCTTTAAACCTCTAAAGAAGGAGATACAGAAAGACTCTAGAAAATGGAAAGACATCCCATGCTCATGGATTGGTAAAATATTATGAAAATGACCATTTTACCAAAAGCTATTTACAGATTCAATGCAATTACAATCTCAGCCCCCATCTCATTCTTCACAGAAATAGAAAAAACTATCCCAAAACTCATATGGAATTGTAAAAGACACTGGGTAGTCAAAACAATCCTGAGCAAAAAGAATGCTGGAGATTACAACTATCAATCTCAAGATATATTACAGAGCTGTAGTGATAAAAAAAAACATTATGGTACTCGCTCAAAAACAGACATGTAGACCAATATGACAAAATCCAAGACCTAAACAAAAGTACACATAACTGCAGTCACTTAGTATTTAACAAGATGCCAAAAACATACACTGGAGAAAAGAATGGATCTCCAACAAACAGTGCTGGGAAAACTAGATGTTCACAAGCAGAAGAATGGGATTAGACCCATATCTATCGTCTTGCACAAAAACTAACTCAAATAGATCAAAAACCTAAATGTGAAACTCGAAACACTGAAACTGCTAGGAAAAAAACATAGGCAGTACCTACCCTTGCGACACAGATGTAGGAAAGGGCTTTCTGAATCGATCTTCATTTGCCCAAGAATTAAGGCCAATAATTGAAAAGTAGAAATTCACAAAACTGAAAAGCTTCTGCAGAAGTAAAGAAATAGTCAACTAGGTGAAGAGGAAGCCCACACACAGAACAGGAAAGAGATAAATGCAGGAAGAGGAAGAGGGTTAAATAACAGTATGGATATCTGAAAAAGTCATAATCATACTCAACAGAGAATCAATATCCAGGATATATAAAAAACTCAGAAAACAAAGACTGAGAAAAAAAAAAAAGGGCCTGGGACCTTAACAGAGTTCACAAAGAGAGAGAGAAAAATTAAGAAATGACTCAAAAAAATGTTCACTATCTCTAGCAAGTAAGAAAATGCAAATGAAAACAGCTCTGAGATTTCATCTCACCCCATTCAAATGGTAAAGAACTGACAACAAATGCTGGAGGGAATGTGCAGAAAGGGAGCTTCATTCACTGTTGGTGGGATAATAAACTGGTCACTCTGGAAATCAGTGTAGAGAACTTTCAAAAAGCTACAAATAAATCTACCATATGTCTGACGCAGCTATATTTTCCCATGGCATATGGCCAAAGGACTTGGTACTCTACTCCACAGATACTTCATCAGCCATGTTCACTGCTGCTCTATTCACAGTAGCTAAGAAACGGGAACAATCAACAATCTGATAATGGAAATGTGGCGCATAGACACTATGGACTACATTCAGGTGTAATGAAAAAAGAAATCACGAACTCTGCAGGCAAATGGATGGAACAGGAGCGATAATATTGAATGAAATAACCCAGACCCCAAAAGACAAATATCACATGTTCTCCATCATCTGAGGCTCGATCTTCAGATTCGAGTACATATCCTGGAATAACTACAGAAACCAGGAAAGTGAAAAGGGACCATTGTTGGGTTGGGGAAAATGGAGGAGCAATAGAGAGGCGAATACAAGAGCACAAGTGATCTGATGAGAGAAATGGAAAACTGGGGTGAGGGCTCTAACTGGGGGAGAGGAGCAGTGCAAAGAAGGAGGGAAGAGGGTTTAATAACAGCAAGGATTTCTGAAAATACTGGAATCATACTATTAACTATCTACCTAAAGATTAACTATAGTAAACATAAGTCAGTGTGTAAACAAACACAGTCGAAATGAAATCTTCTCATCTAGGCTAACAGTTCTCCTTCTAGGAGCCAAAGACCATCTAACAAAAACTCCACCACCAAGCATGAGAAGCCCTCTTTTGAGTTTTGTTAGTCAGGGTTATCAAAGAGACTCCCAAAACATCACAGGCTACTGCTACTGACCTTGGATGCTCCTCAAAGGTAGAAGATAAGTAAGGCCTTGTTGCTAAATACACCAGACACAGGGCCAGAGGCCCCTTGAGCTGGAACTGACCTGCAAGCCTCCTCTCTGGGGACTAGCTTTCTTGGTACCAGAAGGCACCATGCAAGCTTCCAAAGGAGGGAAGCAACCGACAGCCCTACCCAGCTGTGATGCCTGTGAACTCCAACAACCACCAGCATGGCACAACAATGCCATAATGTGCAGTAACGGTATCCACCTTGACTCTCAGATTGGACGTAAGACCCACTCAACAAGACAGAAATCATCCCTAGTAGTGGAAACCTTGTCAACTACACAGGACTAGTGAAACCATGGGTATTGGAGAAGACCCTACAACTGCCACTTTCCTAAACCAGCATAATCCCTGGCTACATCCTAAATATATGTTCTTCTACCCAAAGGTAAGTGTGTCCTCATCCCTCATCAAGGAAATTTCCTTATACAACAGAATGAGGCCAATACAGAAAACCAAACGGCAGAGTTGTCCCAATGGATACATCTATAATACAACTCATGGACCTAAGGCTCAGGGGTCATTGCACAAGAGGGCAGCAGAAAGATATAAGAGCCAGAGGATCAGGGAGTTTGCTGTGAGACTGGATCTCAGGAATGTCAGAAGTTACATGGATCTTGGAGAATCTACATGACAGTCTAAACATGAGATAACAAAGCCAACAAGCAACATGCCAACGCAGACAGGGGAAAGCCCTGGAGGCCTCAACCCTATACAAAGAAGCTGAGATTAGGAGAAATAGTCTTCCCCAGGGAAGAACACACCAATTAGTTATTCAATACCAAATGGTCAGCCCTGAAAATATGCATACACATCAGACTATGAAGACCGAGCACGCAGTACTTATATATTTAGGAATACACACGCATATAAATATACAGATATGTACGTTATAATACATACATACGTACATACGTATGAAAAAGAGGGGCCATGAATCTAAAAGAGAACAGGAGAGGTATAAGGGAGGGTCTGGAAGGACAAAAGGGAAGGGGGGAATTATGTAATTATATTAATCTCCAAAAAGTAAAAGAAATAGTGAAAAATACAGAAAAGGGGGAGAAATAAATAGGATACAAGTAAGAAAGGAAGAAGTCAAATTAATCTATTTAATCTAGATGGCATTATCTTATACTTAAAAGACCCTAAAGCCTCCACCAGAAAACTTAGATCTGGTAAATATTTCAAAAGGGTAGTAAGATACAAAATCAACAAGCGAAAATTAGAAGCTTTCCTATATACCCATAACAAACATTCTGAGGGGAAAAAGTAGTATTCATAAAGCTTTTCTAAACATGGAAAAACAAAAAAACAAAACAAAACAAAACAAAAAACAAGCTAGCAATAAACCTAACCAAGGAAGTTAAAAAAAACACTACAATGAAGGCTTTAAGACACTGAAAAAGACATGGAAGAGGGTACCAGAAGACTGAAAGCCCACACTACAGAATGTAAAGATAATTGTATTGCTAGGAGTGATTTCTAGATTCAGTCAGCAATGGCATTCTTCTCAGGACTAGCAAAGCCACCCCAGGCAGGAAGAGCAATACTGGCATATCATGATACCTGATCTCAATCACACTAAAAAAACACAGTAAGTGCATCATGACAAAGGCAGAAAAACAGACATGTAAACAGTGGAGTAGAACAGAGGAGCCAGAAATAAACTCATACAGCTAGAGCCACCTTCAAGAAAAATTTCTTCCTTCATTTTTGTTTTGCTTTGTTTTTCTGGCTGTCCTAGAACTCATTATGTAGACCAGGCTGGCCTAGAGCTCACAGAGATCTACCTGCCTCTACCTCCCAAGTGCTGGGATTAGAGGTGTGCATCACTGGACTTTTTTTTTTTTTTTTTTTAATGTGTATGGGTGTTTTGCCTGCACTTATGCCTGTGCACCGTGGAGGTCAGATCCTCTGTCACTGGAGTTACAGACAGGTGTGAGCTGCCACCTTGGGGCTAGGCACTGGAACCCAGGGTTCTCTGGAAGAGCAGCCAGTGCTCTTACCCTTTGATGCACCTCTCCAGCCCCTAACCACAGCCACCTAACTGGAAAAGGTCAGCACCATGAACACAATGATGCTTTCCAAGTCAGATAATCATATAGGAAAGGATGACATTAAATCCATCTCTCATACTTTGTACAAAACCATGTTCAAAATAAATCAAAGCCCTTAAGATGAGATCTTAAACTCTGAATGAAGTGCTAGAGAAAAACAAGCAACCCCAAGATGCAGAGAGGCACAGGCAAGGGCTTCCCAAGACATTAAAGAGCTTCCATACAGCAAACAAGCAGCAGAGAAGGATACAGCCGACAGGATGACAGAAAATCTTTTCCAATTAAATATCTCACATTAGCTCCATATCTTCAACGGCTACAGAATTCCAAAACTTAAGCCAAACACGAAGCATCCAATCAACAAAGAGGTGGATAAGGTTAACAGATAGTTCTCTAACAACACACACAAAAACTTTTTAAAAAAAGGCCAACAAATACTGGAAAAAAATGTTCAACATCCTCAGCCATCAGAGAAACACACGCTAAAAGGGCAATGAGATCTCATCTCACTCAGAGCAAAACAAAATCTCTGCCTCATATAGCCAACACTTGTCATCTTTTTGATCCTGGTTCTATAAAACTAACACTTTGGCTATTCTTCTCTCTCAATTTTATGACATCTATAGAACAAAAGTAGGGCCATCATGGGTGCACACACCTGTATTCTCAGCAGAAGAAGGGCAATCCCCAGGCCATCCCTAGCTACAGAAGCAATTCAACAGCCTAAGATATACATCAAGCTTTTCTGAGGGGTAGACATGAGGAAGTATCTCCCATAACCCTAGATGACCTCAAACTCAGCATGTAGCTAAAGATGGCCTTGAATTTCCAATCTGCCTCCATCTTCCAAGTGTTGGGAATACAGGAGTGTAACTGTCTCAATAAAAAACAGAAAGGTGGGGGCTTGAGAGATGGCTCAGTGGTTAAGAGCACTGACTGCTCTTCTAGAGGATGCAGGTTCAATTCCCAGCACCCACATGGCAGCTCACATCTATCTATAACTCCCAGATCTGACACCCCAACACAGACAAACATGCAGGGAAAACAACAATGCACATAAATGAAAACAAACAAGTACATTATTTAAAAAACAAAACGGAACAGGACCAGTGAGACGGCTCAGCAGGTAAACGCCCTTTCCACCAAGTCTGACAACCTGAGTGTGACCTCTAAGACCAAGGCGTAGGATATTTCAATAAAAGCATGGCACATTAATTCTTTAAAGAACTTTTAAATTTTCTTGTAGGGCTGGAGAAATGGCTCAGCAGTTAAAAGTGCATACCATTCCTCCAGAGGGCTGGAGTTTTATTACCAACAACCACATCATGCAGCTGACCAAGTAGATCCAAGGGATCCCCTACTTTTTCTGGCCTCCCTGGGTACTCCCACAGGTAGCATACACACATACATACATACACTCACTCACACACACAAATACACATACACACACAAACAAACTTTAAAAATAAATGAATGAATTTTAAAATAAATAAATAAACTTAATAATTCTTCTATTTACTCATCCAGTGAGGTACCATTCATTATTCCAGGTATTTGTCTACCTTCATCTACAACTATATCATTAAAGACTTGTAAAGTCAAAATACAGATAGTCTCCCAAATCTCCATAAACTCTTAGAATTTTGACCTTTTTTCTTTGGTCCCAGGATTTCAGTAATGTGAAACCCTTGATCAGGTCTATACGACTAGCCTAAAAAACAACATTAACAAAATGGAATCCTACCCCTTTCATCCAAGAGGAGGTTTTCTGGTTTAATATCCCTGTGAGTTATTCCAATTCCATGCAGATAAACCTAAGTGGGGGGTAGAAACAACAGAATTTAGCAACTCACCTACTGGTGCTAATTTTAAGCACAGTGTAAGAGGCTATGGTACCTACCACTCCTGCCATGAGTTGATGGAAGAACCTCTGAGCATCTTGTTCAGGCATGCCTATGTCTGGCTCTGTAAGAAATAAGTATTGAACGTCTACTGAAAAAATATAACCAGGCATCCACCATATAGGCTCTTACTCCATATCTCAATTTATGTTTGTACTAAAGCAAACAGAAACTTATACTAACAAAAGACTCAAGTCTAATAATAAATATATTACTAAATGTCTCACATCTGCCTAGCTGCTAAATAGTAAAAATAAACTAACATCATAGGAAAATAATAAAAGCATCAAAGTATTTTAATCTGATACTAACTCCAATGGCCTTGGTTTCCTTCACATTTCCCTCTACTTCTTTTAAACACAAAACTCAGGGTTGAAGAGATGGCTTAGCAGTTTAGAGTACTGGCTACTCTTCCAGAAGACCAGGATTTGAATCTCAGCATCAACATGGCTCACAATCATCTTTAACTCCAGGTCCAGGGGATCCAGTGCCCTCTTCAGACCTCTTACAGAACCAAGCATGCCTCCATGGACATCAGACATGCACACAGTACACAGAATATAAAGCACCGTAAGATAAATAAATTTTAAACAGTGCCTGTTTTTCCTCAATATTCTAGTATGACTGCCAACAAGAAAATCTAACACTATTTCACTACTTAACAGATTTTTTTTTTTTTTTTTTTTTTGGTTTTTTCGAGACAGGGTTTCTCTGTGTAGCTTTGCGCCTCTCCTGGGACTCACTTGGTAGCCCAGGCTGGCCTCGAACTCACAGAGATCCGCCTGGCTCTGCCTCCCGAGTACTGGGATTAAAGGCGTGCACCACCACCGCCCGGCTACTTAACAGATTTAAATCATAAAATTTTCACATTACAAAGTCAAGAATGCCTGATCTTTTACTCCAACTTTACTGTTGCATAACTAACTCTGATATAAAAGTGATCAAACAGCTATCTAACACTAAAATAGTTGGGCAGTGGTAGCACGCGCCTTTAATCCCAGCACTCAGGATGCAAAAGAATGCGGATCTCTGAGTTCAAGGCCAGCCTGGTCTACAGAGTGAGTTCCAAGACAGCCAGGAATACAGAAAAACCCTGTCTTGAAAAAACACCCTCCAAAAAATACAACTGAGGGCTGGAGAGAAGGCTCAGCAGTTAAGTGCACTGGCTGCTCTTCCAGAGGACTCAGGTTCAATTCTCAGCACTGGTGTGGCAGCTCACACCTTTCTGTAACTCCAGTTCCAGGGGATCTAACACCCTCACATAGACAACAGACAGGTGAGACACCAATGCACACAGAATAACATTAAATCTTGAATAGATAGATAGATAGATAGATAGATAGATAAAATGCAACTGAGAATGTGACTTAGTAACAGACCACTTGAAGGGCCTATGGAAAGACCCTAGGTAGCAATTTATAAGCTTGTACAGTAAAAGAATTATCTTAAATCTTTCCCATACCTATTCTGTCAAAAAGCTCTCCTCCACTGCAGTACTCCAGAAATAGATACTGGATATTGCCTTCCCTCCGGTGGCCATAGAATTTCACTACATTCTCATGATTTAACATTTTATTGATGCAGATCTCTTTCTTAATATTTTCTGGACAGTCTATGGCCCGCTTCATGTCTACAATTTTCACGGCAACAGCTTCTTCAGTTATTCTATTCACAGCAAGTTGAACTCTTAAAAAAAGAGAGAAAATTAAAACATTTTCACATCCGAATTCTATTTCTCCTAAAACTTCAAAAGATTAGTGATGCATGCCTGTAATTCCAGCATTCCAGGTTCAAGGCCAGCCTGAGCTACAAAGAAAGAAACTCTCTAAGCAAACAAACAAAAAACCCAAACAAGCAGGATGTGGTGACATATGTCTTTGATCTTTGAGAAGCAGAGACAGGCAGAGCTCTTGAAGTTTGAGGCAGCCAGCTACATAATAAGACACTGTCTGTTATGCCCAGATCGCGGGGACCCCCAAAAGACCACCACGGCGACCGAATCCCGCATGTAAAAGCAAAGAGCCTTTATTTCAAGCTCCAGAGCTTGGTCCCTCTGTCTGTCCAACACAGTGGTGACAGCAGAGAGCCCTGAGCTCAGGTGGGGCAGAGTTTTCATAGCAGAGGTTGGGGTGAAGGGATTTCCAGGGTCCAGGACCCTGATTGGCTGACAACTGTCTAGGGGTGTCTGTAAAACAAAAAATAGGTATGCGCTAGACTCAAGGACATCTGGCCACCTTGTCTAATGGTTGGAATGTTTGGATGTCAGGTACTTCTTCACCCCTGGGTAGATCCCTGGATGGTATCAGCTTAAGGCTTTTCCTGGATCTGGGTGTTGCCTGCCAATAAGCCTGTCACAGAAGCTGTGTCTAGACCCCTAAGCCTGTCACAGAAGCTGTGCGGTCAAACTATTTTGGGGCCCCTTCACAGTCTCTGCAAACAAAACAAGGGGGGGGGGCAGAAAAAGGGCACCAGGCTGGAGTACAGTTCCTAGCACCCACATGGTAGCTCATAATCATCTGTAATTCCAGTTGCGGAGGATCCTACCTTCTTCTGGCCTCTGTCAGCACTGTACACATGTACTATACTAACATGTAGGCAAACACACATATAAAAAATATATAAATCTTAAATATTTAACGCTTCCCAAAATGTTTTTCCTTCACTCTTTTCTTCATCAAGGAAGATGAGATGGTTCTGCCATGTTCTCAAAAGAAATGAAAGGAAATGTGAAAAACTACAGTTAAAGCTCCAAGAAAGTCATGGCCTGGTGCATACAGGGTGGGTACTATTAATTCTGTCAGCAGATGAGGAAAGAGAGGCACACAAAGCTTGCTCAAGAACACAGAACACAACCAGGGTCTGCTAAGTGTGAGGATCTGAAATAAGGCAGGGTGCCTCCAGGGACTTTTCATTATCTCATTTAAATTCTAAGACACACAGCTTGGTAGGGGAAAAAAAAAAAAACTAATTCTCTTATAATCCTTGGGAAAAGAAAAGTTTTTAAAAAGCTGGGTCGACCAATGCAGGCTTGTAATACCTGAGAGGGTACAGTGTACCACAAGTTCAAGGCCAACATGGCAACTTAACAAGATTTTGATCTGAACAAAAACAAACAAAAGAAGAAATCTTGGATTTGTTTGTTGTTGTTTTTAAGGTCTAGGGCTGTAGCTCAGTGGCAGAGCATTTACCTAGCATGTGTGACGCCATAGGTTCAATCCCCAGTACCACAAAAAAGGAGGAGTGGGTGTGGATATGTGACTTCACTTGCTAAGAGCCTTGATTTACAAATGCAAATATCCATTCCCTTTGCCACTTGAAATAAAGGATTTTTTTAAATGTGTATTCAAACAGCAGATGGAAAACTAAAGCAAGCACACAGGCAAGGTAAAATTTAAATTAGGGAGGCCAGAAAGACGGCTAAGCAGTAAAGCCACTTGCTCTCAAGCCTGATGATCTGAGTTCAATTCTCCGAACCCTCATGAGAACCAACTCCTCCTACAAGTTGTCCTCTGACCTCCATATGCTCACCATGGCAGCGCACACACACACACACACACACACACACACACGCACGCGCGCGCGCGCACACACACACACACACACACACGCACGCACGCACTACTAAATGTAATAAAAAACTTAAATGAAGGCTCAAACTTACTCTCCATAGGCACCTTCTCCCAGAGTTTGCACCAAGTCCCAGTCTTCCACAAAAGGCACTGCCATGACTCCAAGCGCAGCGGCTGTAAAATGCAGGATCCCAGAAAATACGGAGGATGAGTGTAAACTCTCATCGCTCGTAATGCCACTGAGCCATGCCTCTTGCCATGATTCCGCACAACTGTGGTTTCCCCTTACATCTCATCCACATTTACGCAAGTCACAATCTTAAACTTAGGCATTTTGTCCTGTATATCACGATCCCTGTTCAGCCACGTTTGTCCTCCGCATTTATGCAAACCTGAACATTAGCTTGGATCGGAGACTGGGAGACAAAGGCTTCCCGGTGAATGACGGGGAGGCGTAGGAGTTGCGGGCAGGGAGCGCGGGGTTGGGGGGTTGTGGGGGGGGGGGTAAGCAGGACAGGTGTGAGTAACTACGGTAATTACTACCAGAGCAGCCCCTCCTCCCACCCGCTCCCTTCCAATTCCCACCCCAACGGCACGTGTCCCCAGGGCCCGGAGGGAAGGGGGCGGGGCCAAGCTGTTGAGAGGAGCGGAAGGCAGGGACCCCTACAGCCGGAAGTGTGCGAACCCCGAAGGCTCAAACAGCTCTGGTCCCTTTAAGCTGGAAAGCCGGGGGCACCAGCTCCAGCCCGCACTCCGGGAGGCCCTCCCATCTCTCGGTCGTCACGACCACTCCCTCACCGTGCCCGTCCGCACTAATCAAGACCTCTGAGTCCCTCGCTGGAGTCCTGTCCCACCGTTCGGGACGCTCCTCTCACCAAGCAGTCCTTTGCCCGCTGCCACAGGAATCCAAATGCAGAGCTTTTCCCGCCAAAACTTACTTGCGTCATGCTGTCGCAAACGCGCACACCTTTGCCGTAAAGCGGGCCGGCGCGCGTTGTCCTATCCCCGGCTGATAGCAACTTCAGCCGACTGACCCGGAAGGGGCTCCTCCTCCTAGCACTGAGCCTGCCGGGCCAGGCTGGAGTTCTGATGTGAGAGACCCGCAGACCGGATTTGGTATTGACGACCTCCTTGGTGAGAATTGATCTGTGAGTCCCAGAGTGGAATGGCATCGGGTGTGTGCCCCGCTAGACGCCTCACGTTGCTCCAGAGAGGCGCCGAAGCCTCCATCCAGACCGAGCGTCAGTTGGACCAGGGCAAGCACTGGGTTCCTTGCTGCTCTGAGCCTGCAAGGCTGGCTGCACCGTTAACTACATAAACCGACCAGCTCGTGACCCCGGCGCTCCTGCTAGGAAGGGCTTGTGAGGCTCAAACTGAGCTCTACAAAGTGCTCTGTAAACGCTAGACTGTGGTACCCTTAGTATTCGAGCTTAGAAGCTAGCAACTGTTGTTAGAATTGGTCCTGGGGGGCTGGCGGGAAGGAAAGCCAGGTGTGGTGGTGTGTATTGTAAACGTAGAATTTGGAAGGCGTATGCAAGAAAATAGCGAGTTCAAGGCCAGCCCAGGTTATACAGGGTTAGTCTCAAATAAAAAACGAAATAGTTTTAAATGTGACCACACAATGTCGGGTACGAGGGGGCAGGACGAAAATAGTATTTGTTTACAGTCCAGTCAGGATCACCAATTTTGCCTGCACAGGCTCCAAAACTAGTTCGACCTAACCTGTTTGTAGGAAGACCATTTGCCTAGCTTAGTCTTATTAGCTTTCTAATTCTTAAACGAACATAGTGGCCCACACCTATAATACCACACTCTAGAGCTAGCAAGAGATACTCAGCCAGATGCTCTTTCAAACAAAAAACCAGCAAGCTACACGTGGTGTGACTCGCCTGTAATCTCAGCCAAGGAAGGCTGAAGCAGGGGAACTGCTTCAGGTTTGTCAGCCTGAGTCAAAAAATATGACCCTGTCTTAAAAAGGAGGTGGGTAGAGTAACAATAAATATTAGAGTAACTGTGCTAGGCATGTGGCATAATGGTAGAGTACATGCCAAGCAAGCAGAAAGTCAGAATAAAGTGAGAAATGTCAATTCTCAGGGAAAGGACTTGAGTACAAACAAACTTTGTGCTGGCTTTGCCACTGAGCTACAGCTCCATCTCTACAAAATCTGTCCGAAGTGAAAAGGTGAAAATGTTTACATATGAAGCTTTACACCACGACATAAGTTACAGGATTCATATGATGAAAACAAGTTTTTAGATCTTTCCAATTTCTTTGTAATTTCCTGTGTTCTGAAATTAAAGAATATAAAGACCCATGAGGCCGGGCAGTGGTGGCGCACGCCTTTAATCCCAGCACTCGGGAGGCAGAGCCAGGCGGATCTCTGTGAGTTCGAGGCCGGCCTGGGCTACCAAGTGAGTTCCAGGAAAGGCGCAAAGCTACACAGAGAAACCCTGTCTCGAAAAACCAAAAAAAAAAAAAAAAAAGACCCATGAGTTTCCTATATTCCTGAATGGAATGTCATCACCTGGAAAAAAATAGATCCAGGCAGAGTATCAGCGTTCATATGTATGTGTATGTGTGCTTTTATATATGTATAAAAGTGACCTTATACCAGCCACTAGGGAGGTAGAAGCAGATCAGTTCAGGATCACACTGGCCATATAGAAAATTCAAGGACAACCTGGGCTAAATGAAATACTGCCTCAATAAACAATGTGTCTAAACCGATTAAAAGAAAATTGCCACAAGAGTAAACAGATTTACATACACACACACACACACCAAAACCATGATAAAACTACCTAAAAAATAGTTATAAAGGAATAGTAAGAAGAGAGGTTTTATAACACTTGCCTATAATCACAGCACCTTGGGGGCAGATGCAGGAGGATCAGGAATTCAAAGACATCCTTAGCTACACACCAAGCTTGAAGCCACGTAAGGGCTACATAAGAGTCTTTTAAAGGAAGTGGGGCATAAGCAATAGCCTCTCCTTTCTGAGCATGAGAAAATTTTGGAAAAGTGAAAGCCTACTGCAGATAAAAGGTTAACAAGTATAAAATAAAGATTAATCCCAAAGTACAGAAAAGTGACTTGAACTGCATTATGGGAAACCCAGAAGACTCAAGTTGAAATGATATCAGGTAACTCTAAATATGGAGGTCAAAGTGGGGCAGTCACAAAACTACCTATGAAGCAGAGACCTCTACACTCTTCCTCTGTGTAACCAAGGAACAGCTCTTCCCCAAAGCTGGTAGTAAGATTTGAGAAAGTAAATAAACGGAAGGTGGCTTGTAGAGTAAGCACAGTAAAAGGTGTGGCTGTCCTACTAAAAACAGCAATTCAATTTAAGTATATGTACTTCGGAGTTGGACCCATAAGCTTTCTTTTCCTACTCTGCTCCAGAAAGGTGACAGACAGCCTCGCTTGGCCAATATCCTTGAATAAGAGCACATACAAACCTTGAATCTTACGTATGAAAGAAAAAAGGAAACCTAATAGCAGTATCAATGACTTCTCAGTGTACCTGAGTGTACTAGTCTGATCACAGCATATTGAATAGAACAAGCATACACTCCCTTTCCAACACCCAGTCTTAAAAAGCAGTCAGCCAAGAATTTGGGAAAGTCTTTAATTGGAAAGGCAGCAAAACAATGAGATAGTCAGACAAAAGAGCTCTTAAGACTTTAGAAATGGGCCGGGCGGTGGTGGCGCACGCCTTTAATCCCAGCACTCGGGAGGCAGAGCCAGGCGGATCTCTGTGAGTTCGAGGCCAGCCTGGGCTACCAAGTGAGTTCCAGGAAAAGGCGCAAAGCTACACAGAGAAACCCTGTCTCGAAAAACCAAAAAAAAAAAAAAAAAAAGACTTTAGAAATGGAAAGCAGAAAAGAAAAAATAAAATATTTGAAAACATGGTTGAAGATGGAAATGTAGCTCACTGACAGTGACCCCGGTTTGACCCAATACAGAAAGGAGGTGGGGGAGGAGTGAGAAGAGAGAAAATACAGCTGAGGAAATATCGTAGGAGATGAAAAATAAAACAGCAACTATGAAAATTTTAGGAAATTGACTCAGGAAGCCCCACATTCAAATAACTATACCAGGGCTGGGGAGTTGAGTCAACAGTTAAGACCACTAACAGCTCTTCCAAATGACCTGGGTTCAATTCCCAGCACCCACACGGCAGCTCACAACTGTCTGTAACTCCAGTTCTAGAAATCTGATGCCCTCATCTGGACTCTGTGGGCACCAAGCATACACATGATATTACACACGTATGGAGGCAAAACACCCAAACACATAAAATAAAAGTAAATATTTAAAGTGTCACATTGTGTTGCCTAACATTTAAATTTTTTAATTAGCTATATCAGAAAGACAGCTGGAGAAATCTACATATAGAGTGTTTTTTCAAAAAAAAAAAAAAAAAAAAACAACTTGACTATGCACACATGAAAATCCAGAGTGCCTGGCACAGTGGATAGCCCCAATAAAGATGCAACCAAGAGGTCTGGGGCGAAGAACAGACAAATACTCAGCGGAATAACTGCATTTCTTAACATTAGGAAAGTAGAGAACAATGGGCTAGTGCCTTTATAATGCAAAATAGTGACAGTCTGAAATTCTTTACCCACCTATGCGTTGAGTATGAATAAAAGAGCTCCAGTAATTTATTCCCCCTACACACTTTCATAAGAAGTTACTTAGAAATGGCAAATCAGCCGGGCAGTGGTGGCGCACGCCTTTAATCCCAGCACTCGGGAGGCAGAGCCAGGTGGATCTCTGGGATTTCGAGGCCAGCCTGGGCTACCAAGTGAGTTCCAGGAAAGGCACAAAGCTACACAGAGAAACCCTGTCTCGAAAAACCAAAAAAAAAAAAAAAAAAAAAAAACAAGAGTTGTTTTGGGCTGGAGAGATGGCTCAGAGGTTAAGAGTACTGGCTGCTCTTCCAGAGGTCCTGAGTTCAATTCCCAGCAACCACATGGTGGATCACAACCATCTCTAATGAGATCTGGTGCCCTCTTCTGGCCTATAGGCATATGTGTAGGCAGAACACTGTATACATAATAAATAAAATTTTAAAAAAAAAAAAAAAAAAAAAAAAAAAAAAAAAAGAAATGGCAAATCAATAAAAAAGGCAAAAGATTAACAAATATAACAGTGAAATAATACAACTCAACAAACTTGGAGAGTTAACCAATTCAAGCTGAAAAATAAAACACATTCTTAAAAGTAAACAACGTAATCAGGTGTGGTAGCATATACCTATAATCCCAATAGAGGCAGGAGAATCAGGAATTCAAAGCCAGCCCCTGCTACAAAAAACCCTGTCTCAAAGAAGCAAAAATTGGTTAATGAATGTATTTGATCACATGAAGAGAAAATAGGCACAAATGAAAGAGAATTGGCTAGGGAGTGAGGGGGTAGGAGAGATTTATAATAGGTACTAAAAATTAAATTACTTCCTAAAAGAAGTTATAGAGGAAAAATAGTAACTAGCTGGCTATAGTGGCCCACACCTGTAATCTCAACACCTAGGAGGTAGAGGCAGGACAATCACGAGTTCAAAGCCAGCCTAAGTACATGGAACTGTCTTAAAAACAACCACCATCAAAAAGTAACAGTATATAATACATCTTAACTGAGAATAGCCAAAAGGTAAAAGGTAATCACAGCTGTAACAGATGACAGTAAAAATATGTCACAAAATATAAGGCAGTGGTTTTCAACCTTCTAATATTTGGAGACCCTTTAAAAATACAGTTGTTTTTGTTTCTATTTCTGACTGTAATTTTGCTACTGTTATGAATCATAAAGTAAATTTTTTTGGAGACAGAGGTGTGCCAAGGGGTCCCAACCCACGAGTTAAGAACCACTGATATAAGGGATGGTGAAAAGGTACTAATTCCTGTTCCCACCCAAATCAATGCTACCTCAAACTACAATACCAAAACATAACAAAACAAGTTACTAATAGGCAGGAGGTAATGATGGGAGGTCAGCATAGCTGAATGTGGAGTCTCTAGAGGGTGAATGGGTGCATGGGAAGGGATATGTGTGAAAGTGTATTGTTGTTTTTTAGATGGATTTTTTTTTTACACTAAGTGGACTATAACTGAAAATGAAAGCAATTTAAAAAAAAAAAAAATCTGTGTAAACTAGAAAATATCAAAATCCCAGGAGTTAAAATGGTATGAAAAAGGGTTATCCCATTTATACTACAGAGAAAGCTTACTAATAATCTGTAATATAATCATATTGATAAATCTCAGATTAACCTTTCCCAGTAGGCAGTAATTATGTATATAAATCAAGTAATATATTTACATATAGGAAATCAAATCTTCTGTTAAATCTAAATTTCAGCCACAGTTAAAGTACATGGTACATAAACTGGCTTGAAGGTGAAGTCCTTAGGTATACAAGTGTACCTAAGCATATATGCACAGAGTACTAATGTGACTATCTAAAAGTCATATAATTCCTCCTGTCTTCTTAAACAGGTTCAACTAATTTAAGACAGTTTATATACATCAGTGATTATGTCCTATGTTGTAAAATACATGAAATGTCCTATTGTACTGAACAGAAAGCTGCTTATCTTGGCATAAAATAACTATGAGACCTCTGTGCTTTGAAGTTAAAAAGCTTTTGAAAGTCTCTTTTCTTACAGTCAGACTGGCAATGATCTCTAGTTACCTGCTAGCAGCAACACTTCCTACTTCCTAGTTATATATTTAGCAAGGGCTTCAAAACCAGGTAACAAGCCTGAAGTGGTATATGAATACAGCAGATTGACACTAAGAAAAACAGAAGCTCATGGTGGAAAACCCCAAGAGATTTAGTGCAGTCTACCGGACATGAGCAAAGAGTCATTTACTGTGTTTTAGATTTAGTGAAGCACTGAAAACCTAAATGTCATATAGGTACATATAACTATATCTGATTCCAGAAACATCTACTGACCATCAACCTCTATATGTGATGTTAGAGGAGTGTCTTCCTCTCAGATTAATATGTTTCACTGAGTCTTAAAAACTATTGGATTAGTCACATTTGGTTCATCTACCTGCTTAGAATAAGAAAAACCCTCACTGGTTTAAAAGAATCCTGGTGAGATCAGGGATACTTAGCAACTTTCTGTCCTTTCAAAGCCAAAGAGCTTCTAAAGAAATAGACATTGAGAACATAGGTATAACAGCAAGAAAGTTGTCTTCCTTGCTCAGAAATAGCACTCTTCTGGTCCCAAAAACATTTATTCATTTGATAAAAATTTTTATTAAGCACCCATTATATGCAAAGCATTGTACCGGGTGCTATAAAACAAGAAGTGTGAAAAAGTTTTTATATTTGTAGAACCAGAGCTAGTCCTTGAGTTTGCTGATAGGAAAGAGAAAGAAAATGCTCCTATTTGGTTCATCTGGGGACCTAGAGCATGGATATGGTCTTCCATCCATTCACTTCTGTGATCCTCAAATCAGCCAATTTAAGTCAAAACAAATAAGGCACATTTAAAAAAAAAAAAAAATACCCCCTTTTAATTGACCAAGTAAAGCCATGACATTTCATTTGGTAACCTGCTCAGAATTATAAAAATCATTTCATTTGGCCTAGCCCATACTGTCCAGGACAAAACTTCCAGACAATTCTAATCCCATCCGGCTCTGTTCTTATAAACTGTATGTATATAAAAAAAAATCTTCGGCGTCCTCAATATGACGCACTCAGTGCGAAGCATATCAGGGCACAATGTGACATTTATGTCCTTGACAAGCCTCGATTATCCAGGTCCTTTACCTGCAACATAAAGACATCAGTTTAGTATGTACCCTAAGTTCTTCTTTGGCAAGATCTACTAGTTCCACAGAGCAGAAAAGATCACTCTAGACTCTGTTGCTTGTTTGACAATGTGAATAAATAAGCATGGATTAGAGTCTACCTACTGTCAACTTAGCCTTTAAGAAACAGTATAGACTAACTTTGGCAGTGACCAAAAGACCTCAATCATTCTTTTTTATTCCGTTACTTGAGATATATGTAGCCTAGGCTGGCCTCAAAATTCAATCCCCCTGCCTTTGCTTCCCTAGGCATAGATGCTATATGTGGTTCAACCTGTTCTCATATAAAAGATGTAACACATTCCTACATGACATCATGTGATTCTGTGTCAAAAATTCAGCAAAAAGAAAACATAGTTCAAAAACACAAACACAGGCTGGAGAGATGGCTCAGAGGTTAAGAGCACTGACTATTCTTCCAGAGGTCCTGAGTTCAATTCCCAGCAACCACATGGTGGCTCACAACCATCTGTAATGAGATCTGGCTCCCTCTTCTGGCCTGCAGTCATACATGCTGTATACATAATAAATAAAATAAATCTTTTAAAAAAAAAAACACAAACACATGCATTTCCCCAAAACCAAGTACAGTGGCCACATCTATAATACAACCATTCCAGAGGCTGAAGAAATGGGATCTGAGTTTAAAGCCAACCTGGAATAAATTGTACTTTTAAGACTAGTCTGGATGGCATCCTGAGACCCTATCCCCAAAACCATAAGGAAAGAAGAAAGAAAAAAGTACTGGTCTGGCAAATGTTTCAGTGGGTAAAGGCACTTGCCATCAATCCTGGTAACTTGATTTGGATCTCCAGGACCCATACAATAAAAGAACTGACCCCGACAAGCTGTCTTCACATGTAGCATACATATATAATGCCTCCTACATAAAAATGTAGTAAAAGAAATTTTTTTTTAAAGAAAAAGAAATGTTGGCATAACAACTGCCAATCCTCTATAAAAAATAATCAAAAATATGATTAGTAATATTTTGGCTTAACCAGATAGCTTAGCAGGTAAAATTGCATACAAGCCTGATGACCTGAAGTTAATCTCGGGAATCTATAAAAATGTAAAGAGAGCCGGGCGGTGGTGGCGCACGCCTTTAATCCCAGCACTCGGGAGGCAGAGCCAGGTGGATCTCTGTGAGTTCGAGGCCAGCCTGGGCTACCAAGCGAGTCCCAGGAAAGGCGCAAAGCTACACAGAGAAACCCTGTCTCGAAAAACAAAAAAAAAAAAAAAAAAAAAATGTAAAGAGAATCCACAAAGTTGTACACATACACACACACAATTTAAAAATAATTAACACTTCAAGTAAGTTACAAGCTACTTTGAAACCAGATGCCATTAAAAATGTCCCTATGTGGGAAAATTGTATACTAAAACAAGATCAGTTTTCTGAGCTATGTAGCACCTACTCACCTTGTATATCCTGACCAGCCAATGTTCTGTGGTATATGCTTCCTCCAGGACATCAAGCTCAAAGTCTTTATTACCAATCTCAGCATTTCGAACACGGTCAAAGCCTGGCGGACGCTCTAAAAGCAACAAGAGAAAAATCTTTACAACAAGAGAAAAATCTTTTCTATTCTGAAGTTAATTTCCTAAAGCGATGGAAGCTATACACCAACTACTGCATTGATGGCTATTCCTCCGCCTGCTTTGACTAGAGTCTGCAAGACAGAGCTTTAGATAGAAATGGCAAATCAAGTGCTACCCTAGTTGCGTCCTGCCCAATGTGATGCTTGGCAGAGTCCATGAAGCTTATAAGTCTACAAGGTGAATTTCAAGCCTCTCTACTTCCGAGGACTGTTATCCAGAGACCTAACACTAGTAACCTTTCCATGGATCATGAGTTCAAGTCTTGTATATACTGCAAAAGTTTTCCCAGATGCAGAAACAAAACTGAAATGGACAGGATCTAACCTGACCAAATGTATTCATCTAAAAAATGGAAAAGTACTTTTTTCTTTATCCCTTAGTCCTTCTCACACTATAATATTCTTTATTGAGACATTCACAATAAAAGGTCAATTTTTGTTTGTTTGTTTGTTTGTTTTTTTTTTCAAGACAGGGTTTCTCTGTGTATCCCTGGCTGTCCTGGAACTTGCTCTGTAGACCAGGCTGGCCTCAAACTCATACAGAGCCTCCTGTCTCTACCTCCCAAATGCTGGGATTAAAGGCATGTGCTACCACCGCCCAAACAGAAGATAGTGTTTTAAAGTACAGAATTCAGAGGCAGACTGAGTTTGAATTCTATCATGTGATATTAGCTAGTACAGTAACCTGTTAGTTATTTCAATTTCTTCATACATAAAATGGTGTTAATATTAGTTTCTATCTTCTGGGTTCCTGTGAGGACTAAATGAGTTAAAGAGACTAAGAGTAGAACCTGGAAAACACAGTATGTGTCAGCTATCACTATTGTTGTTCGTATTATGAATCACTCACTGGCTTCTGTGTAGACCTGCCCAAAGCGATAATAACACATTTTGTACATAAGGCAGTTGAGCAGCACTGGAGACCCCTCACGATCCACACGGAATTCCCCAGTTGGAGTATAGTAGTCATTCTCCTTGATATGTCTTCCTGTATCTGTGCTTCCTCCAATCCGGACCATCCAAAGAAACTTGTTGATATCTAGAGGAAAAAGGAAAGGACTGTGTATCAGAAAGGCTGTTGGATATAAATAACTCGATGAAAATGTCACTATTCCTAAGGAAATTTCCATTACACTTTTCTAATACAGAAAGCTGTCATTTAACTCTGTAAAAACAAGAAATAGTGTGAGAGCAAAGCATTTCCTAAAAATACAAAACTTTTATTAGAAATTGTTTGTTAAAGGCTGAAATTGTATGCTATTGGTCCAGGCTTAAGACTGAAAGTATTCCTAGAAATCAGGAAGGGCTAAGCTATTGCAAGCAGTAGCCAGTAACCACATATACTTAAGTAAGCACCCAAAGTATTATTGATACCAATTTAGAGGTGCTGTGTGGAAACTAGGCACATTGATGCCTCTCTGTAATCCCAGCACTGGGAGGTTGAGGGAGGAGTTTCAGGCATTTAAGGCCAGCCTGGGCTACACAGCATCAAGCTTTCATAATAAAAGAATCTGTACTATGATCAAATATTTTATTTTAAGACTTCATAAACATTCAATAAAAAGTGAAACTAGAAGCCAGGTGTAGTAGTACATGACTTTAACCCTAGCACTTGGGAGATGGATGGATCACTGTTAGTTTAAGGCTAGCCTGGTCTACATAGTGAATTCCAGGCCAGATATCTCCTCATAGTGAGATCCTGTCTGAAAAAAAAAAATTAAATGAATAAAAAGGGCCAGGCAGTGGTGGCACACACCTTTAATCCCAGCGCTTGGGAGGCAGAGGCAGGGGGAATCTCTGTGAGTTCAAGGCCAGCCTGGGCTAGTGAGTTCCAGGAAAGGCTCCAAAGCTTCACAGAAAAACCTTGTCTCGAAAAAAAAAAAAAAAAAAAAAAAAAAAGGATAAAAAGTTAAAATTAAGAACACTGAAAACACAGTAACATATGTCCAAGAAGAAATAAAACTTTCCTAAAAGCAACAGAAAATGTATTTCCAAAGACCTGTTAATTGCTTTAGAAAACATCATCCTGCCTGTGCCTATAATCTCAGCACCAAAGCTAAATTAAGAGTAGACTAAGAGTTCAAGGCCAACCTAGGCAGTATCACAAGCCTCCTGCCTCGGCATTCAGAATGCTAAGATTATAGCTATAGGCATACTCTACCATCCATTACCTTACTTATTGTTTAATAGAACCTAGAAAAGAATAATGACTAAAGGCTGAAGGTGAGTTGGGAATGAGCAACTGAAGCAAAATCAAACACAACTGAGATTGTCTTTTGGCACATAATACTGTGAGAAATGGGATGTTTAAAATTCAGAAAGTATTCACCGACAGACACAACTGAAATGTTGAAATGACAACATTAACAGTAACAATAATAATCACTCTCAAACTTTCAGAACTCCTACTAATAAAGGTTTTAGTTTTGGGGGGTTTTATTTATTTTTTATTTATTTTGTTTTTCAAGGCAGGGTTTCTCTGCTTAGTCCTTGTTATCCTGGAACTCACTCTGTAGACCAGGCTGGCCTCGAACTCAGAGATCCGCCTGCCTCTGCCTCCGAAGGCTGGGATTAAAGGCGTGCGCCACCACCGCCCAGCCTAACACAGTTTAATAACACAGTCTTGAGGAATTGTCTTTCATGACTGTCACATGCATGTTTTCACAGAGCTAGATATTGAATATTCTGCATTATTTTTAATGTCTTCAAAAAGTATTCTATTGCCTTAAAAAAAAAGACTAGTTCCCACAGTTAGATTACTGTCAAATCATCATTCTTTCAACAACTCAAAAATATGACATCATCTCCAAAGGAAGTTCAGGGATTTTTTTCCCCTGTTTTTCTGACTAAGTCTTTCTTTGCATACAGTTAGCTAGTAAGCAACAATATGACTTCACAAAATCTGATTTTTCACCACATTTTTATAGTCCTACATAATAAACAAGTTAAAGAAGCAGTTTCCCCATCGTCGTCGTCGTCATCATCATCATTATAAAAGATCAATATCGCCATTACAAACATACCCAAATGAAAAAGACAAATAAAATCAAGTGCAAACAAAAATGTAGAGCAACTGAGAATTGTACAGTGCCTGCCATACAAACTAAGGACCCAAGTTCAGATCTTAAACAATCTATTTAAAAAAAAAAAAAAAAAAGCCCAAGCCAGGAGGTGGTGGCGCACTCCTTTAATCCCAGCACTCAGGAGGCAGAGACAGGGGGATCTCTGTAAATTTGAGGCCAGCCTAGTCTACAGAGTGAGTTCCAAGCCAGCCAAGGCTGCACAGAGAGACCCTGCCTTGAAAACAAACAAAACAACAACAACAAAAGCCCAATGTGGGAACGTATGTCTGAACCCTAGAACAGGAATATACAAGAGCAGCAAGTTAAAACTATCCACAACAGAATGAACAGTACATATATCATATGGATTACTTCTGCAATTTCAACAATTGGCTGAATTACATGGTTGATGTAAACCTCTAAACTTTTATCTTTTTTTATTGGGTTAGCTTGTATTAGTCTGTATTATAGGAGCTTGGAGAGATGGCTCAGCAGTTAAGAGCACTGGCTGCTCTTCCAGAGGACCTAGGTATGATTCCCAGCACCCACATGGCAGCTCACAACCATTTGTAACTCTGTTTCCAGTGGAGCCAAGACCCTCTTCTGCCCTCCATGCATACCAGACATCCAAGTGGTACTCAGACATGCATGCAAGCAAGCAAAATGCCCATACACATAAAATAAAATATTGTCTGTATTATATAAAGGTAAGTTTGCTTAACAATAAATCTTCAGAAACTGAACAAGTAAAAAAGGAATACATGTAGAATTCTTAAGGTCAAGAACTAACAAAACTGTACAGGTATAGTTGTATAACAAACTTAATAATTCAATATGTTAAGTATATATCAATAAATATGCTTTAAGAAGAAATGCATTGTAAGTCCAGATAGTATGCACTCTTAGGCAATAGGAGTAGATACTGCAAGGGAGTGCAAGATATTCTAGAACACTAGTAACAATTTGGGTGGTAGTTATGTGGGTTGTGTTTTTCTGTGAAAACTCATTAAACTGCAGACTTAACAATATTTGCACCTTTCCAAATGTTACACTTCAAGACTTTAAAAATAAATTTAATTAGGAGCTGGATAAATGCTCAGCAATTAAGTGCACTGGCTGCTCTTTCAGGGGACCCTGGGTTCAATTCCCAGCACCTATGTGGGAACTCATAACCATTTGTATGTAACTCCAGGCCCAGGAGATCTGATGCCCTCTTCTGACCTCTGTGAGCATTGCATGCACATGGTGCACAGACATACATGGAGGAAGAACACTAATGCACATAAAATAAAGGAGAAATATATACATATTTAGGAAGGAATATATACATACACACACATATATATGTATGTGTATATATATATATATACACATACATATATATATATTTCTTAAATCATTTTAACTGCCAAATATTGTGGTGGACACCATAAATCCCAGCACTCAGAAGGCAGAGAAAGGAGGCTTGCTGTAAGATGGAGGTCTGACTAGACTACAAACCAGGTTACAAACCACCCTGGCTATACAGCAAGTCCATGTCTAAAATTTTTTAAAGAAGAAAATCTGAGGGCTGCAGTCAGTTAAGTGCTTGCCACAAAAACACAGGCACCTGAATTGAATGCCCGACACCCATATAAAAGGTGGACATGGTGGCACATACTTAAAATTCCAATACTAGGGATTTGAGACTGGTAGATCCCTGAGGACTCCCAGCCAGATAACCTAGCTTAACTGGCAAGTCCCAGGTCACAGCAAGAGACCAGTCAAACTTGGACTTGCACACACATGCACACAAATAACAAAATAAAATTAAACAAAAACAATCTCTCTAATCAAGAACTCTTGCTGTTAAGTGCTAGTTTTATTTTGGGGTTTTTTATTTTGTGTTTTGTTTTTGCCTTTTATTTTGTCAGTTTGACACAAGCTAGAGTCATCTGACTAGAAAGACCCTCAGTTGAGAAAATGCACCCACCAGATCGGCCCATGGGCAAATCTGTGGTGCATTTTCTTGATTGATGATTAGTGGGGGAGGGCCCAGCTCACTGTGTGTGGGACCACCCCTGGGCTGGTTGATTCAGGGTACTACAAAACGCAGGCTGAGCAAACCACAAGGAGCAAGCCTGTAAGCAACACTCTTCCATGGCTTCTGTACTGGCTCCTACCTCTGTGTTCCTGACTAGATAAGAGTTCCTTCCCTGATTTCCCTAGATGATGGACAAGCTGTAAGATGAAATAAATGTTCTCCGCCCTAAGTTGCTTTTGATCAAAGTATTTTATCACAGCCAACAGAAACCCTAACTAAGACACTAAGCAATATTTCTTTTCATGGTAAGTTACTAATGATAATTGCTCACTTCCTGTATTTCATAAAAAATTTCTAATATGCTACAAATAATGACACTTTTATTCCAACATCAAACATACTCTACTCAGTTGACAGTGGTTAGTTAATATTAGTGGAAAGACGTCAAGAAACTAATTGTGGTCCTTTGTTTTTTTGTTTGTTTTTTTCAATAGACAAGATCTTGTTGTACAGACCAAGGTGGACTCAAACTTGGCGATCTTCCTGTACACCAAGTGCCAAGATTACAGATGTGCACTGTCACACCCTACAGAACTATCCCTTTAATTACACATATACATAAATCATAAATAGACACACACATAAGCAGATATGCATACATTGAAATATATATTTATATAGTACTTAGTACTATAGATAAGATAGACAGATAATTACTACCAAATAGTGCTGAGATAATTGTTTGTTGTTCCTGCTGTTATCAATTTTACTTTGCTTTTATAAGATACATTTGAAATAGTCTTATTTAAAATAAGCATCTTCGAAAAGCAGCCATAGGACTGAGTTTGAAGAAGCAAATTGTGAAGAAGTAGCTACACATACAAAGAAAATTAACATATAAATATAAAGTAATCACTAGCTGTAGGAAAAGAAAATACTTGTGATAAAAATGTAACCCGAGAACTGACTAATTGAGCAGTGTGATTTCAAAACACCTACCTAGATTTAATCAAAAGCTGCACATTAACTATACTAAGAACATTGAAAAGAGGAGAGATGTGAGATAAAAGGTAAAATGCTTCATCAGCTGTAAGAAGTTGATAGAGGACCAATGGATGGCTCAACAGGTAAAGGTGCTTGCTTCCAAGCTTGATGACCTAAAAACTCAATGCCTGGGACCTACACCGTGTAAGTAGAGAATCAGCAAGCTGTCCCATACTATGGGACACATGCAACATGCCCCCCTCCCAAAATACACACAAATAAATAAATGTAATAAAACAACTTTTTAAAGAGATAGTACAACTAAAACTAATCGACCACAGACTAGCAGGAATTTTAAAATATAAAGATTTGAGAGTATAACTTAGTGGGGAAAAGCTTGCCTAACACATGATGCTCTAGGCATCAATCCCCAGCACTGAAAAAACAAACAAAGTAACAGAAGACAGGAACTACTGGTTAGCACTAATGTTAAAGATGCTTACTTAAGTTTAGGGCCACGAGACAACCACTTATTTTAAACTTCCAGAATTGTTTAACTTTTAAAAATATAAACAGGTAGCCGGGCGGTGGTGGCGCACGCCTTTAATCCCAGCACTCGGGAGGCAGAGCCAGGCGGATCTCTGTGAGTTCGAGGCCAGCCTGGGCTACCAAGTGGGTCCCAGGAAAGGCGCAAAGCTACACAGAGAAACCCTGTCTCGAAAAACCAAAAAAAAAAAAATATATAAACAGGTAATATTAACTTCAGTTTTGTGAAAGTTAATTTTACTTTGTGTACACACACACATAATTTTTTCTTTAAAAAGAGAAAATAAAGACAGATGGTGCAGGCCTGTAGCTATAGCACCAGGGAGGTAGAAGTAAGATCAGTAGTTCAAGGTCATCCTTATGGACACAGCAAGTTCAAGGCTAGCCTGAGTCACATGAGACTCTCAAAAACAAATATAAATAAATAAAACAGTGATTCACTACATTTTCTAAGACTCTAAGAATGTCCCACAGCTAGATATAATATCAAGTACATTACCATCAGAGGAATACCCTGTTAGGCCTCCAAAAATGACAAGCACATAGCTGACATCCAGCTCCCTCATGATTTCATAGGCTTTTTCTTCTGTGGATGCCATTGCCTAGAAAAATAAGTGTACAATTCTCAAAGAAAAATCTCAAGTCAACCTCCTCTCCTAGTAACGAGTTTCCCAGTAGACCTCATATATCAGACACTCAATGGACCCTTTTACCTTACCTGCCCTACTCGAGAAATATGAGTATTATTCCATGTGTTATTATCCACTAAAATTGTCCGATTTGCCATTGCAGTAATTTGGTAGCCATAATCCCACCATGACATGACCTTTGCATCCTAAAACAAAAATGAAAATAGGAAAATGTTCATCTCACTACTCTTAAAAACCAAATGCTAAGAAGAGTGGAAGGACAACTTTGATAAGACTTGTCTAATTAATAAACTTCTTTACAAAGTAATGTACTCCTAACAAGAAAATAAAATTGGGGCACCTTTCTTCAGTAGTCTTAATTGACCTTTTCTTCCTATTTGAGCTTAAGGTAGAATCAGTATTTTGATTTTTCAGGAAACATGTACTATACAGTTTAGGAAAATGTTGTCCCACAAGAAAATAGTTATAACTAAATAAACAAAATCTCAGTTACACTTTCGCCTTCAGTACATAATGCAGAGCCTTGTACTGGTACAAGAGCAGAGCTGCTCTCAGTCTTTATGGTAGTCAACTTAGCTTTTGCGGGCTGAGGCACATGCTCCAGAGGACAGAGACCTTGGTGATAATAGCCATGCCTGAAAGCTGCTTATGGCAAACTTCACTTAACACAACAGAGTTTTGTTATGTTTGTAGTAGTTTAAGAACAGGTATTTTAGGTAGCTGTTTTTGGTGTCATTAAGAATGTCAGGGGTTGGGGATTTAGCTCAGTGGTAGAGCACTTGACTAGCTCTCAGTCCTCAGCTCCAACAAAAAAAAAAAAAAAAAAGAATGTCATAATCTATTCTTTTTTCGTTTTTTTTTTCCCCCTTACCACTCATTGTTACCCAGATCTTTAAAAAATACATCCCATATCCAGGAAGTACTAATTACAAAGATTGCTGACCATACCAAGTTTTACATTGAAATTTCACCTCATTGCTCTGACCAAAGACTGCCTGTTCTGGTTTAACTCATCTGTGAAGCATTTTCCCTGAGCTCTTTTCTGAAAGATTCCATGTAGAGTGGCCTTGACTTTCCATATCCTATTGATGAACAGACTGCTTAGAGAAAATGGAAATTTTACTGTGAACAGAATGGAATGGGACAAGAAAGATGGATGATCATTTTCAGTATTGTATCTGAAGTGGGAAATAGCACAGCTAGAAGCCTCTAACACTGCCTAGTATTTTACATGATCTGTTCATAAAATTCTCTTTTTCTGTTTGTAAGAATGTTCATCTAAAAGAAAATGTTGTAAATATTTATAACAACACCTTTTTAAACCAGGCCAAAAAGAAAAAAAAAATGGTTTTGGAGAACAAGTTAATATATAAAGTGGTTTTATAGAAAACAGCAACTGTCTTGTATATTTTGATTTCATTTGTAATACAGTTTGTAGTATTGGAAGAAAAGGATTCTGTGATTGTCTAAGTGAATTATGTTATAAATGCAAAGAGGAGAAAATATTAAAAACCATATTTACTAAAAAAAAAAAAAAATGGAGCACCTGCTCCTCCATTCATATATAGTCAGGAAATAGTTTACATTATATACAATCCAACATTCCCAAATACCCTAATTCCAGATCATTGAAACAAGCATAATGGATCAAGAGGTATGGGGGACTATGAAGTACAGCTAAGACAGCTTGATGTCATTAGGTAATTTAAATTTTTTTCATTAGAGATAGGGTCTCACCATGTACATCAGGCTGGCCCCAAACTCAGAGGTTTACCTGCCTCTGCATTCTCAATGCTATATTAAAGGAATGTGCCAACACTCCTGGTTTGTCATTAGGTAATTTTTAATGACCCTTAATAACATTATAAAATCATTATAAAATTTATGAATTTTACAACGGTAGAAGGGAAAACACAAACCACAAAACGTGATGGCAAGGATTAAAAGATTCTTAGTTTGAGAGCTGAGTACACAGTTCAGTGATAGAATATGTACCTAGCATATGTTAAGGTTCTGGGTTCAATCCCCAACACTACTTTTAAAAAAATTCTTAGTTTGGGTTTTTAGCAAATCTGACTCAGAAATACTATTTTCAATAGCTACTTCAAAAGAAATCACTTCAGATCCTCAAAAGACATAACTTACAATGTTTAATGTCATTATTATTAGGTGGTAACTGTTTACCTTGATTCTGATTCTAGTTTCCACTTTTTTTATAGCAAACATATTTAACATTTTCTTCTTTTGAAACTGGGTTTATCTATCTTATATTAAAACCACTACCATATCAACACAAATGTCCAAACAGAATCTAAAATTTAAGATACTCTAGAACAATGGTTTTCAACCTTCCTAATGCTTCAGCCCTTTAATATAGTTTACTCATGTTGTGGTGACTCCCAACCATAAAATTATTTTTGTTGATACTTCATAACTGTAATTTTGCTACTGTTATGAATTATAATATAAATATTTCTGGAGACAGGGGTTTGCCAAAGGGGCTGCAACCCACGGGTTGAGGAACACTACTTCAGATGAACACCCTCAATAGAGGTTGGTCTTTAAAGCTTACTAAAAACTGAGAGTCTAAATTTCAAATTTTTCTAAGCTTCCTATCCATCTAAAAGATGTCATATTCACTACAACATCAAGTTTCTTCAACACTATCTAACTATCCAACTCCTCTCAAATTTTTACCTCTGGTGTATTGTGACGAAGCCAATAATATGCTTCTCGGAAGTCATCAAAAATGATCCTACTGCCATCCCCACCACGGGCCGACAGTACAATAGAAGGGGAAGAGTAGGCTTCACTGGTTACCCAAGTTGAATGAAAAGTGTAGGTGATGAGAAAAAAAGCCATGACCAGTATCATTCCACTTGCCACCTACAGAAGAAAGAATTGTACAGTAAACCAAACACAGACAGCTTCTTACATGAGATCAAAATATGTTGGGCTGCACAAGTTAATTCTGACCACCCAAGACATTGCTGTAATACCCGTCTCAAACACACACACACAGGCACACGCACGCATAAACACACACACACACACACACATACACACACACACACACACACACACACACACACACACACACACAGACATTTCCCAAGTCAACGTGTTACTTAAATCTCACCTCATTCTTAATAGGGTAAGTAGAATCCTGTTGCTTCTTGCTCTTCTTGTCTGGGCGACTTATATCCAGATTCTTCATGTATGTGGACAGCACCTGGGAGACACCAATGCCAGAAAGAATGCACATAACAGGTGCCAACACCAGCATTAGACGCACCTAAAAAGAACAAGAATCATGATCAGTATAATCAGTCTTTCATAAATGACAAGACTTCAATCTATCAGAAGACTGACTATGACACCAACTTAGCAATTTTCGACAACTACTCTACTCCAGCAAAAGTGAAACAGAAAATATGTGGTACAGCTATAGCCTAACAGAAGTGAGAATTTCTTAAACTTTGTCACACGTGAGCCAGTTGCAGTGGAAATCTGTAATTCCAGCAATCAAGATGCTGAGAAAAGAAGATCAAAAAGTTCAAGGCCAGGACTAGAGAGACGGCTCTATGGCTTCTGAGCAGATACTGCTCTTCTAGAGGACCTAAGTTAACCCATGTTGGGCAGTTCACAACTGCCTAGAACTCAGATCTGTCATCTTCTTCTGGACTCTGTGGGAACCTGTACCTGCACATATGCATGTACACACATACAGGAAGGGCTTGAGAGACAGCTCAGCAGTTTAAGAGTGTAAGAGTATGTGTTGCTTTTCCAGAGGACTGGAGTTCTGTTCCCAATACCCCTGTCAGGCAACTCAAGGAGATCTGATGCCCTCTTCTGGACTCTAGAAGCACCTCCTAGCATGAAGCATACAAGACACATACACATAAGTAAACATAATAAATGATAATCTTTGGAGCTGAAAAGATGACTCAGTGGTTTAAGCTCTTGCAGAGAAATTGAGTTGAGTTCCTAGCACACACATGGGGTGGTTCACTAACATGCACATACCAACCCACAGACACACACACACACACACACACACACACACACATAATTAAAACTTAGGGGGAAAAGAAGACCTTGTCTCAAAAACCATAAATATAAATAAAAAACTCTGCTAAATGTGTCTAGGTTCTGAAAGATAATATAAAATTTTTACTTTTTTATATACTTATTTTTGCTCATTTTCTTTTCTGAGATAGAGCCATTTTGCCCAGACCATTCCTGAACTAATGGTTCTACTTCCCAAGTGCTGGGACTACAGGTGTATGCTACCATCCCCAATAAAAATACATTTTTAATTGCTTTTTCTGATTTGACAAAGTAAAAAAAAAAGGGCTAGAGAGATGGTCCAGAAGTTAGGAGCACTAGCTGCTCTTTCAGAGGACCCAGTTCAATTCCTAACACCAACACAGCAGTTTATAGTCCAGCCCCAGAGGATCCAACTCCCTCTTCTGGAATCTGAGGATGTCAAGTATCCACGTGGTGTACAGACACACTCAAACACCCATACACATAAAAAATAAATACAATAAAAAATGTTTCGGGGTTGGGGATTTAGCTCAATGGTAGAGCGCTTGCCTAGCAAGCACAAGGCCCTGGGTTCAGTCCTCAGCTCCGGAAAAAAAAAAAAAAAGTTTCAAAATAGTGTAAGAAATATGTTAGTACCTTAGATAAAATCCTTCCCTGTCTTAACAGCAAAGCAGTAGACAGTACTCTCAAGGCTTTAAGATAAAAAATCTACACCAGGAGCTAGGGAGTGGCTTATGGTTAAGCTTCTGGCTCTTCTAGGGAACGTAGATTTGGTTTCTAGCACCTACGTCAGGTGGCTCACAATTGCCTGTAACTCCAGTTCCATGTAAATATTTTTCTTTAATCTGCTCCAAATTCAATGAAGTACAAAAGTGCCTTATACAAGGTTATGAACTCAAGAAAATTAGACCCCACAAACTGAGTGTGAAAGTTTGTGTATTCCAAAATAGGATTAACAACAGCAAGCAGCATAATCACCAGTCTTTTTTTTAAAACTCAGCCAGGCAAAAAAGAACAAACAAGAAAGCACCTCAGAGTCACGGATAGTTTGGCTAGAACTGAGGGAATTCCTCACCATTACAGCTGAAAAGTACATGCTGGTCACACCATACATGATGATAAAAATCCGAGCATCAGACAGGTTACTAAAGCAGTAATAGAGGCCAACTACAAAAGAGGAAAGAAAAGTAAGCAGCTGAGCACTGTAGACAGAAACCTACAAGGAAAAATATCTTCATTATATGACTGGATGACTTCACACATTTACCTCAGTAATTCTAGGAATCTATTCTAAATAATGATGCAAAGATGTTTACTACAGTATTCTTAAATACCAAACAACCACAAATAATCTATATGTCTAACAGAAGAGATGGCTAATTATGCTATATTTTAAGTATAAAATACATTAAGATTAAGATAAGTTATAGGTCCTTGTCCTCTTCCACATCTTTACACACTTCTATAGATGAAAAAGTATTTCCATAAATTCTAAATCAGCAGGAATTATTTTTCCCCAGGCCTAAGTCATGCTAGGCAAGGGTCCCACCCCTGACATAGCCCTAGACTCATGCCCAATCATGATCTCATTCACACTCAACAAATAAGCAAATGAATGCACCTATTAAGATGGGTTGTTTGGGCTGGGTGAGGTGTCATGTCCCAGGACTTGCAAGGAAGGTAGAGGCAGGCAGATAGCTATAAGTTTGAGGCCAGCCTGCCCTATATAGCAAGTTCCAGGTCAGCCACAAATACACAATTAATTAATACTAAAAATGGGTTTTTCGTTACAACTTTTTGAGAATGTTTCACTATGTAGCCCAGAATGAACTCAAACTCACAATCCTCCTGCCTCAGGCTTCCAAGTACAGACATTCATCACTGCATCTGATTTAAAATGTCAATGGTGGTAGGACGGGTAGTAAGAACTAGTGCAAATGTACCTTTTTGTGTGTTTTTTAACTTATCTCTATTGTTTTCACAATATAAAAATCTTAACTATTAAAAACTCAACATAGAACTTCAATATAGCCAAGAAGAGAACTGGGTAAAAGGAGAAGGAACATGCTATGAGTACTAAGTATAAGTATCCACATGGGGCAGCTCATAACTGCCCATAACTCCACCTCCAGGGTATTGGACACCCTCTTCTGGTCTCTGCAGACACCTGCACTCATACATACATACATACATACATAAAGACACTTTTGAAAACATAATAAAAAAATTAAGTAAATATTTAAAAAGTAAGGGATGAGGGTAGTCAATATATTTGGAATTAAAGGATGATTCATATGAACGTCACTTCAAAATGCAAGGCAGACCTGGAAACATGAAGACAAGAAGCTGCAGATCAAAATAGTAGGAGGACCAGGTTGTGGGCTGGTGCTCAGACACAGATGCAATGATGGGGATGTTGTTCTTAGCGTAAGAAGGATCCAGCAGTGAGTAGAAACGCCCAGTCCAGGGAGAAATTTTTCCTGGAAGAGAAGGTAATAAATATTTCACATATAGTCCTAAAACATGAAGCTAAAAATGCTAAGTAATCACAACATCCCACTTCATTTTTATTATTAGCGTGCCTGTGTAGTATATCTGTAGTATGTAGAGCAGTGTTGAAGTAAGGCAACTTGTGGGAGCTGGTTCTTGCCTTGCCCCTTGTCTAAGGCAGGACCTCTTCTATTGTTTCTGTCACATCATGTTCCAGACTAACTTACCTCCAAGCTTCTGAGAGATTGTACTGTCTTAGTTACCCATTTCATGAGTGCAGGATTGTGCAAAAAGCACTTTTACCCACAACATTCCATTTGAGTAAAATTCTGAGATAAAAAAAGGACTATTTTTGCTTTATTTACCATCAGGTAAATGCTCTTGTTTTTTTAAACTTGAGAGTATTCTCAAAAATAGTCAAAAAAAAGGGCTATTTTTGCTTTATTTACCATCAGGTTTTGCTCCTGTTCTTTTAAACTTGAGAGTATTCTCAAAAATAGTCAAAAAAAAGGGCTATTTTTGCTTTATTTACCATCAGGATTTGCTCCTGTTCTTTTAAACTTGAGAGTATTCTTTTCAACATAATAATTTGGTTATATCTAAATTCACAGGGGAAGGGAGTTCAGAGAAGCCTACTGGAAAGGAGGATCTTAGGCTTAATCTGGTCAAATCAAGAAATCAAGTTGGGCGGTGGTGGCGCACGCCTTTAATCCCAGCACTCGGGAGGCAGAGCCAGGCAGATCTCTGTGAGTTCGAGGCCAGCATGGTCTACAGAGTGAGATCCAGGAAAGGCACCAAAGCTACACAGAGAAATCCTGTCTCGAAAAACCAAAAAAAAAAAAAAAAAAAAAAAAAAGGAGAAGAAATTAAGGCCAACTCCGGAATCTAAGTGAACTAGGTCCTCATCCTGCTATGAGTTAGAAAAATCAAATTAGCTTCTGAGAAGTGTAAATTAAAAAAAAAAAAATGGAGACTGTCAACTAAACTAAAGAGCCATGATTTAGTTTCCATAGGATGAGTGCCATGACTTAAAGTATGACAAAGAGTATAAGAATTTCTACACGCCTACCAATAGAAAAAAAGAAAGTTGAAAAAAGACCGGCAAGGTAGTTCTACAAAGATACTCTGCCATGCTAAATCCAAACAGGCTAACAAACAGAATGTTTTAAAAAGTAGGACTTTGAGGCTGGAGAGATAGCAGTTAAGAGCACTTGCTGCTCTTGCAGAGGATGGGGGCTCAGTTCCCAGCACTCACAATTGTCTACAACTCCAGGTCTAGGGGATCTGATGCCTTCTTCTGGTTTCCTCAGGGACCAGGCACACACATGGTGCACAGACATACATACAAACAAGACACCCATACACATAAAATTAATCTTTTCTAAATGCTTGACTTTAGTGCTTGAAATAAAGAAATAGAAGAGAGGAACTTCTGTGGTGAGCAAACAGCCCGTCTTTTTGGTATTTATTCTACGTCTGTATCCATGTGTACCTAACTATAAAAGATGTGCTCCTCTACCTGTCAGCATGAGGAGTGCTCCCACGGTGAGGAGGACAAAGCCAACCAGGGAGATAACACTTCGGAAAAGAACTTCAAATTGCTGTGGATTCAACTTGCTGCGCAGATAATCTACGAAGGCATGGATCTGACAGAGACCAAACACTCCAAAGGCTGCCATGTGTTCTGATGAAAGGACAGGCTGGGGGAAGTGGGTGACATATATGGCAGTATTAGGAGCAAAAACAAACAGAATGAGTTCATCCAAGACTGGCACTCCCCTGATCTACTTCAGCCCAAGGAGTCCAACGAGTTTTGAAGTTCCAAAATGAACGAGGATCAATATAGAGAAGGGCTTAATTGACCGCATATATTTTCCAAAGAATGTCTGGAGTCTAACAAAGCATACGATACACTAAGACAATCCCATCTGTACCATTTGCTCTGGTTACTTCCTTAGTGTGGCTGCAATTTTCTCCCAACTCCCTTTCACTAAAACTCATCATTTAAAATTCAATGTAACAGTCCTCTCCAAACCCGACAAATCAATAGCTCCTATGTCTCGAGCACTGGTAGGCTCCTTTAGTATATAATTACTCTTTTCCATAGTTCGCTAACTCTAGTGGGCATCATAACCAATGGGAATGTTAAAGTAGGTTGCTGAGCCCCACCCTAGAGTCAGTGACTTAACAGGTCTCTTTTACTGTTTCATTTGGCTTGTTTTAGTTTGGTCTGGGTTCTTTTTTGTTTGTTTGTTCAGATCTGTTTGTTGAGACAGGGTTTCATGTATACCAGGCTAGGCCTGAACTTGACTAAAGTCCAGGATGACCTTGAATTCTTAATCCTTCTTTCTCTACAGAATCTGCATTTCTAACAAGTGTCCAGACGCTATTAATGTTAATGTTCTGGAAACAACTCTCTAGAAGTACTGAACTGTAGACTATCAACAGTGTGTGTATTTCTTTCTCCAGCTTCCTCAAGGACTAACATATCACTTACATTCTCTTACATCTTCCACTGAATAGCAAATTGCATTTATTAAGTGACTAGAAATACTTACTTATCTCTAAATAAAGATGAGAACTTTACGAAAGAAACTAAACACACAATTTCCTGTTATTTGAACCTAATAATCTGGGTAAAAGGTTTGCGCTTTGCTTCCTCAAGGGCTCACCTAGGCCCCATTAGGATGATCAGAGTTCACTGCCATTAAATGGGGTCATTTCCACTAAAAGGGCTGGAATTTTAAACTTTTTTGAAATTCTAACTTTGATCATTCAAATCAACCCTGCTTAACTAAACTGTCCCTCCTCCTCCTCACACAAACCCAAACCAAAGAGCCATTAAATTCAAACAGCACGCAGCAAATACTGATGTGTTCTTAGAAGCAGATTCATAACCAATAATTCTGTTGTTTCAGTTAATAAACAGCCCCAAACAAAAATTATAATTCATATTCTTCTTAGGAGAACCCAATCTAAGTTAATCTAGTTGAAGCTACTTAGAAACATTTGGCTGCAGAAAACTCTACAAAGTCACATGCTTACCTGGAAGCCCACAAAGGAGATCTGCATAGAAAGAATGGTACCCAGGCAGTAAACGGTACAGTAGGCTACGTAGATCCGGTGAGAAAAACGGCCTGTTAACATCAGCACCAGGACATGAAGAGGAATCAAGTTGATCAGGAACACATAACCTCCCCATGAAGAGACCTGTGAGAAGACAGAAAAAACAGTCCCTTTGAGCAAGACTCACAGGATGCTGACACTGTGACACAATACCACGCTACAGTGTTAATCTAGATGCCAATTACTGTGTCACACACAGAATCTAAGTAGAAGCAGAAAAGTAAAGAAAGCCAAGGGACAGATGTAAAATTACATAGAAGAAAAGAATACATCTTAGAAAAGGAAATTTTTAAAGGGAATACAACAAAAATATGGAACAACCAACATGTACCTATAGAAAATACAGTAATACAGAATATGAAAAACTTTTTTATTAGCAGACTGAAAAAAAGAGAGCTAGGGATATAAGTCGGATGGTAGAGTGCTTGCCTAGCACACATGAAGCCTTCAGTTCAGTCTCAAGCATCGTATAATCCAGGCATTGTGGTACACATCTGTAATCCCAGCTCTCAGGCAGTAGAGGCCGGAGAATCAGAAGGTCATTCTCGTCTACACAGAGTTTGAGGCCTACCTGGGATACATGAGATCCCATCGCAAAAAGAACTTGAGGGTGGGGGAGCAAGAAAATTTTAAAATTAAAAGTATGTAGAGAAGTAGCTCAGCAGTAAATCAGCCTAGTATGGGCTCAATCCCCTGGACCAAAAAAAAAAAAAAAGAAAGAGACAAAGAGACACAGAGAATACATGTACATAGTTACCATGTAGAAATAAGCAAGGGCACACTTGGCAGCCCAGTAGATGGAACCAGTCTTCACTGCCTTGATCCACATGTAATAAGTAAGCAGCATACAAAAGATAGCAATTCCTGCAGAAAATAAGACATTCAGAAGCCACACCAACACAGGTTAAGAACACTTTTCCAAGAGCTGGGCCTTTAATCCCAGCACTCAGGAGGCAGAGGCAGGTGGATATCTGAGTCTGAAGCTAACCTGGTCCAGAGTGAAATCCAGGACAGCCAGAGCTATACAAAGAAATCCTGTCTCAAAAAACAAACCAAAAACAAAAAAACTACATTTTTAGGGACTGGAAGATGGCTCGGTGGTTAAGAACAAATACTGCTATTGTTAGAAGAACAAAATTTGGTTCCTAGTACCCACATTTGGTGGCTCACAACTACCTGTAACACTAGATCTAACCCCTCAGGCACCTGCACTTACACACATACAATCAGAACAGTCTGGAACACACTATCTAGAATCATATTTCTAAACTACTATTCAGTACAAGTATAATTTTAGGCAAATTATTTTACGTCCCTTTGCCTTTGCTTCCTATAAGAAGAAATCTGAGTATAATTTTCTTCCCCTAGTGCTGGGGATTAAACACAGGGCCTCATGCATGCTAGGCAAATCTTACCTCCTGAGCTGCACCTCCAGTCCACAGAGTCTACAGTAAATATCTACTTATTAAATCATTGTAAAGACAAATGCAGTGTAGATAAAGCACCTGGAATAGTTACTAGAATATAGAAAGCAACCGCTAAATATTGGTCCTAACACTATTTTATTTGTAGGCATTTAGTCTTAAGTATATACAAGGCGGACCTTTTACTTGGAATGGTGCTGTCCTTAATAGTTGACTGATGGATAACCTGGGGCTATATCTACAAGACAGAACACGTGGCTAGCATGCCCAAAGCCCTAAATTCAATCTACAGTTCCACCGCCACCCTCACTCCCCACCCCTGGAAAAAAATTGCCTCATGAAATTCCCAAATACGGATCCAGATCAATTTCAACCACTTCCAAAAAGCTTTCCTTTGATTCCCAAAACCAAATACATTTCTCTTTACAAGACATCCCCAAAGCACAATGTTCAAGAGCTTTAACTTTTTGTTGTTGTTTGGTTTTTTTTGTTTGTTTGTGCTAGGTAGCACAGGTTGGCCTGAAATTCACTATGTAGCCAAAGCTAGACTCATATTCACTATGAAGCCCAGACTGGACTTGAACTTAACATCTTCCATTTTCACTTTGAACACTAGGATTGCAATAATATGAGCATCAGTCCAGCTTTGAAGTTGTTTAAATTGTTTTTATTTTCTGGAACAATGACTCATGTAACCCAGGCTGGCCTCAAAATCACTATTTAGTCAAGGATGGCCTTGAACTCATCTTCCTGCTTAAGTGACAGGATTACAGATATATGCAACCATACTCAGCTAGAGTTACTTTTACAGGTCCATTATATTCTTTAACAGATTATGGGACATCTATCATCTATCCCTTAAATTTCTTAATTATAAAACAAAATAATCTAATTTATTATCTATCTTTATAATACCTAACATTATGTTTTCCCAATGTTTCAACAAAAATATGTCAAGAAAAGTCACTGTAATTTTAAAGAAACACTAGGAAAATTAAAAACAATGATCATAATGTTAAAATAACAGTTAAATGTGAGTCCAGAGAGTAAACAAAAGCCTGTTAAGAAGTTTCCAGCTAGAGCTGATGAGATTGCTTAGCTAACTCAGGCAGCACTTACTATCTATCAAGTCTGATGACCAAGTCTAATCCCTGGGAATCACAGGGAAGAACAGAAGAGAATTAACAGCTTCAAGTTGTCCTCTGACCTTGACATAAAAGCATGCATAAGCATGCGTGCAGATACACGCAGTAAACAGGTATTAATTTTTTAAAGTTCCCAGCTACCTCTCGAGGAGAGTATCTTGTCCAAGATCCTTTTCTGCCTATTTCTAATCTCACCAAGTCCAATTTTATTACTGCTAAGCAATAGAGATGAACCCAAATTCAGCGCCTTGTGAAATTTCAGTAGATAATAAAGCGAACACATCCCTTTCAGCATTCACCAGGCGTGGTGGCACACGCCTTTAATTCCAGCACTTGGGAAGCAAAGACAGGCAGATCTCTATGAGTTCAAGGCCAGACTGGTCTCTACAAAGCGAGTTCCAGGACAGCCCGGACTACACAGAGAAACCCTGCCTCAAAAAAACAGAACAATAAAAATCCATTTCAGCACTCTAACTCTTACCTTCGTTGTCATAAGAGCCAGCTACAGACCGAGAAATATACCCAGGAACTACAGCAATCATGGCAGCAGCAAGAAGACCAGCTCCTGCATCCTGGAGAAACAGAAGTTAACATGGATACGCCCCTAAGAGAACTGAGGACCTACAGTCTATTCTCTTTATAAGGGGCCCAGAGAGCATTCAAAAATTTCCAGTGTCAATATGAGATGCTAGAAATGCACACAGCACAACAAAGCCAAAAACTTCACAGTCGACTCCGCATGAGGACACCAAATCTAATGCTGAGTACAAATATGCTGAGACAGATACACCATATGGAATATGGAATATGGTGTACAATGGAAAGGACCTGTAATATCAGCAGAATGAGGCAAGAGAATTACAAACCCAAGACCAACATAGCACGATCCTTTCTAAAAGCAAAAAAAAAAAAATAGTAGGAGGAGAGTAATTAGAGATACACCTCAGCTGACAGGGTATTTATGTGCCTAGCAAGCATGAAACCCTGGTTTGATCCCTAGAACCACATACACCAAGCATGGTGGCACATGCCTATAATCTCAGCAGACATTCAAGATCATCCTTGGCTACACAGTGAGTTCAAGATTATTAGCTTGGACTACATAGTAGCCTGCCCCCAAAAAATAATAATGATGATAATAATAATAACAATCCCATGAGCTGTCAAAACCAGAGCCTGCTTGGGTATGGTGGCACACACCTTTAATCTCAGCACTCCAGAGGCAGAGGCAAAAGCAGGTGAATCTCTGTGAGTTTGAGATCACCCAGGACTATACAGTGAGACTCTGTCTAAAATAAATAAATAAAAGCCAGAATTTGCACCAGAATGGACTATTTAGCTACAAGTATCACAGACTTTTTAGTTCCTTCCTCTAATAGTAACTATACATCACAAAAACGCCAGTTCTACAAGAATAAAGTTATTATTTAACTTTAAAAGAAAACAAAGAATTGGACATGATAGCAAACACATGTAATCCCAGCACTTGGAAAGTGGAGACAGGAAGATAGCAATTCTGAGGCCAGCCTGGGCTCCATAGGAAAATCCTATCTCAAAAACAACAACTCAACAAAAAAGTGACGATCTACCTAGATTGAGGATGTCAGGAGGTTAGACTGTAAAGTTGGAGAGTTACCAGCCAACTTTTAAGGTTAAAAACAAAAAAAAAAAAAAAAACCATATTCAAAAAATAAGAAAGTAAATAAACAGTAAGGTTTGTTTGTTGATGATCACATCAAAGGATAAAAAGTCCTCCAAACTGACCCTGGCTTCTCAAGCCCTCCTGCTAGCTTGTCATCTCTCAGGAACCCCCGCTAACACTGCAGCCACAGAGTAAGAACAGACTCCCAAGAATCAAGAAACCTGAAAAAAGTCAACAAGAAACCTGAAAAAAGAGAATCAGCATTATCGAGCCAAAATGCTTAAGAATTTCAAAAAAAAATTTTTTCAAATGTATCAACAAAAAATTGCTAAGTGCCTATTTCCAATAGAAATAACCACTTTGGAAAACATGTAGTTTTTTACCCCTTCTTCCTTACATTGGTAAGGGATTCAAAATCTACACGTGTCAATTTTACATGTTAACTGCTGATTTTTTTCTTTACATAGCAATTTGTCCTTAAAAAAGCAAACAGCTACAAATGATAATAAAGCACATATTCCCCACTAACTCAGTTCAACAAATGTCTTTAACCTCTGGCTCCCCACTGTGTAAAAATTTCTAATTTCCTTCAAGAGCTAACAAGTCACCCTAAAGAGAAGCTCCTTAAAACTAAGGATGATCTGGCTGGGCAGTGGTGGCTCACGCCTTTAATCCCAGTACCTGGGAGGAAGACGCAGGCAGGTCTTGGTGAGTTCGAGGCCAGCCTGGTCTACACAGCAAGTTTCAGGACAGCCAGGACTACACAGAGAAACCCTGTCTCAAAAAAACAAAAAAAAAAAAAACAAAAAAAAAAAACAAAAAATCTAAGGACATTCTGAAGCATTGGTTCTCAATCTTCCTAATGCAGTGACCCTTTGATACAATTCTTCATGTTGTGATGATCCCTAACCATAAAATTATTTTTGTTGCTACTTCATAACCATATTTTTGCTACTGTTATGAATCGTAATGTAAATATTTTTGGAGATAGAGGTTTGCCAAAGAGGTCACAAGCAGCAGGTTAAGAACCTGTTATAAAGGGAAGTATTCCACCCTTCAGAAAGAAAACAACTTAAAAGCTTTAGGAAGTTCCTGAAACAAACCAGACTCACTAGGCCCCTGGCTCCCCGTTTTATATAAACAGTAACTGCCCAGAGATACTCTCAGATAAGCAGAGCAGCCTAGAAGAGGCTCAGACCCGCCAAGCTGCATGGAAGAGGCCCAAACAAAGTGAGCTGCTGGAAGAGACACTGCAATCTGTCAAGCTGCTTGCAACTCATGCAGTAAGCTCTGGCCTTCCAGCTTTTGTGAGATGTCACCCATGCTGAGGTGGCTTTTGTTGATGTAGCTGTCACTTTTGAGCCATTTCCGCTTTTTTAAGTAACCCCTCACCCATATTCCTTTAAGTAACCCCAATAAAAATTTATCAGTTCCAAGATGAACTTTGGGGGTATCCTTACTTGGTCTGTCATTGGTTCCCTATCTGGGGTGAATAAATATTTGTACATCTCCCCTGTAAGTTTCACAACACTCCCCAACTTTTTAAGGCTCTAGATTCCTCCACCTTTCCAGCATCTACTAGAGATTCATCAACATTCAGTCCCAAGCTTCCTGTCACTCAAATCCTTTACCTTGAGCTCTTTGGTAAGGTGGTATGTAACGATGGTGGTAAAGGAGGAGAAGAGAGGGGCCAGGAAAACACAGACATTCCTAATGTCAATGGTGATATGGAAAAAATGGAGTACGTGGTAGATTGCAGCAGAGGTGATCATTAAGCCTGAAACAGGAAAAAGTAATCCCATTAGGTTGTCCTGGTAAGAAAATAAAAAGAAAAGTGTCAATCCAAATTTCAATAAAGTAGCAACACAGGTCTTAACAAACCACTAGAAATACTATTAGAGCAATTATACTAAGCTTCTACACTTCTCTGTTAAGGATTCTATCTAGAATGTATAAGACATCCTCCCTTCCTCATTCACATCTCCACTATCCCACACATGTTCTCTGTAAGACCCACTTTTGGAAATCTATAATCAGAATGAAATTACAAGTATCCTGAAGTGAAGCGAACAGAAATAAAGCTGTTTCACAGCATACAAACACCACACTGTCCTTACAAACACAACAAATCCTGTCCCCCCTCACCTGGGTAAATTGTTCCTCCAATGATTCGGCCCAAAGGGTACCAGGCCCGGTCATCAAACCAGTTATGGAATTTATAAAACCCCTCCTCAGCCAGAAACCGGGTAGTCCGATAATTAAAGTACCTAAAACAAGAAAGAAAAGCACCATGTCCCCCCACATCTCTGTACTCAGAGTGTCCTACTTTGCAAAGAGCTTGGAAGGAACACAGCATTGTGTGAATAAAGTTTACTGCCAAAATTTATGTCATGAAAATCATTTATACTAACTGAAGTCTCTATTTCTTTTTTTTTTTGTTTGTTTTGTTTTGTTTTGTTTTTCAAGACAGGGTTTCTCTGTGTAGCTTTGCGCCTTTCCTGGAACTCACTTGGTAGTCCAGGCTGGCCTCGAACTCACAGAGATCCACCTGGCTCTGCCTCCCGAGTGCTGGGATTAAAGGCGTGCGCCACCACCGCCCAGCTGAAGTCTCTATTTCTATTCTACACTTGTATCAATTAAAGCACTGCTTTTCTCTGAAAGAAATGAACTTGAAGTCTAATGTCCATACAAAGCACTCAAACAGGACACTTCAGCAGGCCAGCCTGTGGTAGATAATAAAGCCAGCAAAAGAACTCAAGACCTCTAAAGCATGAGATTTGGCCCTTTTCAAGTGACAAGAATACATTTTGTTCCTCTACCACACACAAGAACACATGGACACCTCTAAGTAATGAACATCTACAAAGATATTGGCATAACACCATATGCAGGATGGGAAAAAATTTAACCCACATGATAACAAGAACTTCCTAATGAGTGTTTAAACTTCTAACAAGGTCCATTCATGTTATTTCAAGTGTGTCTGATACCACCTACACTGTAACATAACAGTATATACTACATATAAAGTACTGGACAAGAAATGCTAAAAATTGTACATGGAAAAAGTTTTCTAGAGCCAGGCTGTGTAAGCACGTCCCTAAATGAAAAAGAAGGGGGAAGTAGAGCAAAACCAAATAAATAAATGGGTCTCCAACCATGGGTAATCACCTCCTAGCCCACCTCCTTAACTCTATTTTTCTCCTTGGTCAGTCAAGTTTTGGCAGCTGAGGTAAGGAGAAGCAGCAGATGGCATAAAGCTCTAGCCTTCTGTTCCTCATGAAATGTTATTCTGGTAACTGTCAGAGATACAGAAAAGATGAGGGTTCTAGAAGGCAGTCGGCACGGGTTATAATCATGTCCACTATCTACCAGTAGGAGGCGGACTAAGAAAGAAGCGTAAATTAGTGAACTAAGATCAGCTCTGGGCATGGTTCCTCCTTAGAAAAGGAATAGTCAGATCATTTGTACAGTGTCTTCCAGTTCTACTGCAGACACTTTTTTCCCCTGATTAGCTCACCTCAATATTCACCTATCTGGAGGGTCTAAGAATGAAGCTCTAACAGTTAGATCAAGAAACAAAACAAAGATGTGGGCCTGGTGGCACAAGCCTGTAATTCCAGCACTTGGGAGATGGAGGCAGGATCAGGAGTTCAAGGTCATCCTCAGCCAGCTACAGAGCAGATTAGAAGCTACCCTGAACTACATAAAACCCTCTCTCAAAAAAGAAAGAAAATGATGTAAGTGTTGTGTTTTCATTTCTGTTCTATGATAAAATACCCTGACAAAAAACAGTAGGGGTTTGAGGGAGGAAAGGGAGTGGAGAAATGACTTAACTATATTTTAATTTTTTGTTTTTAGTTGCAAAACAAAAAAAGTAAAGTACTTAGATTAAGACAAAAATAACATGGAGAAAAGTAAGTATTTGGCTTATAATTCCAGGTTACAGCCCACAGCAGGTCAACAGCAAAGAAATAAATGAACACATACAGGCCTGCCTACCGGCCTACCGGCCTGCCGGCCTGCCGGCCTGCCGGCCTGCCTGCCTGCCTGCTTGCTTGCTCTTAGCTATCTTTCTCTTAAACTGTTCAGGACCATTTGCCCAGGGAATGATTCCACTTACAATGGGGCTGGGTCTTCCTCCTTAATGAACAATCAAGACAATCCCCCACAAACAGGCCCACAAGTCAACCTGATCTAGACTCTGCTCAGGCCTGGTGTAGTGGCACACACTTTTAGTTCCAGTGCTTAGGAGTAGACCTCTGTGAGTGTCAAGGCCAGCCTGGACTATATAGAGAGTTCCAGGACAGATAGGGCTGCAAAGTAAGAACCTGTCTCAAAAAACACACAACAAAAGCCTCTCTTCTTAGGAGATTCTAGAGTCAATTTGACAGTCAAAACTAACCAGCACAGTAAATCTTCTCATTCGTGAGAAAAATGTAAACTGATTTCAGAGCTCCCCAAAGAAAATATATATAATACCTCCAAGTTCTTTAAAATACCTATATAAAACAAAATTACAACCAAGTACAGGCCTTGAACTTTTTAAGCAATGTTACCAAATATGAATGAGCTGTTTTTAAATATTCAATAACTAAAGAATCTAGGACTCTGGTTTCTACATTTTTCCTAAGACTCAACTTTAGGCAATAATGCAATGACCTCAGTCTGTGGAATCAGACAAATCCACATTCAAATCTAGGTTCCCACCTAGTAAATGTGTAACTTTGGATACAGTCCCAGTCTTCTCAATTAACAGAAAAAAAACTGTACCTGTATTTCACTGAATTGCTTTAAGGATTTAAAGACAATCTGTAAAATAGTACTCAAAAGAAAAAAAGAAAGATGCTTAGAAAATGTTAGGTTTAAAAACAAAAAAAAAAGTTTTATTTATTTGGAGGTTTATTTATTTATTTATTTTATTTATTTGATGATATATTGTGTATTGTAATAAACTTGCCTAAGAATCAGAGGACAGAGCCAGCCACTGCATTAGACATAGCGGTCAGGCAGTGGTGGCACACACTTTTAATCCTAGCACTCAAGTAAAGGCATGAGGTTCAGGACCTCATGCCTTTACTTGAGAAGCGCACATGCCTTTAATCCCAGGAAGTAATATGGCAGGGCAGAGAAAGGTATGAGGCGTGAGGAAACAGGAACTCACTCTTTTCAGGCTTAGGATTTCATAGAGGTAAGAACTAGTTCTGCTTCTCTGACCTTTCAGCTTTCACCCTGATATCTGGCTCTGGGTTTTTTGTTAAAAGACCACCTAAGATTCAAACAATGACAGGGAGGTGGTATCTTGCCAGGAGAGTAGAGGACAACTTTTGAGAATTAACTCTTTCCTTCCACAGTGTGAGTGCTGGGGATCTACCTCAATCCTAACAGCAAGTGCCTTTACCCACTGAGCCATATCACTGTCCCAGTTCAGGGTTATTTGAGATAGGGTCTTCCTATGTAATCCTACATAGCCTAGTACTTACTATGTGGCCAAAGCTGGTCTCCAGTTTGCCACAATCCTCTTGCCTCTTGGCCCCTAGAGTACTGAGGGTATAGGCATGTACCATCATGCCCAGCTAATGGTATTAATACTACTGAGGGTTTCACCCTATCTTTTTCAATCTAATAAACAAAACCTTAGACTTTTTATTATGTGTTTATGCATGTGTCTGAGATGTCAGAAGCCTCAGATCCCCTGGAACTGGAGTTACAAGTGGTAGTGAGCCATCTGACATGGGAGCTGGGAACTAAATTTGAATCCTCTGCAAAAGCAGTATGTGCTCTTAACCATAGAGCCATCTCTCCAGCCCCAGGTTGGTTTTTGTTTGGTTTGGTTTTTCTGAGATAGGATCTTACTATCTAAGTAGTAGTCTTAGCTAGCCTGGAACCTACTATGTAAACCAGGTTGGTATTGAACTCAAAGACATACACCTGCCTCTTCCTCCCAAGTGCTGGGATTAAAGGAATGTGCCACCATGCCCAGATTTTTTTTTTTTTTTTTTTTTTTTTTTTTTTTTTGGTTTTTCGAGACAGGGTTTCTCTGTGTAGCTTTGCGCCTTTCCTGGGACTCACTTGGTAGCCCAGGCTGGCCTCGAACTCACAGAGATCCACCTGGCTCTGCCTCCCGAGTGCTGGGATTAAAGGCGTGCGCCACCACCGCCCGGCCAGATTTTTTTTTTTTTATTTTATTTTCCCAATACTTTTTAGATAGACTCTCACTATACAGCCCAGGATTATAGGCATTTGCCACAATACCCAGTTCTCATAGCTTTAACATTTTTAGTGCCTTCGAATTTAACAATAAGCCCAATTTCTACTGTATAAATAAATAGGAAAAGAAGTTATGATCTCAAGTTCATGACTTGTGCTATTCTTTATAGTCTTAAATATAGTCCAGGATCCTTTCCTTTATGTGTATTACTGCTCTTGATCCAAAAAAAAAAGAAAAGGTAGATTTCTCTTAGCCTAGCCAGACCTCAAGTAAGCAAGCTTAACAGCAAAGTCTATTGCACTGTTTGAGTTGACGAGACGCACTTGGAAAACTTGAAGGAGTCTTCTTTAAATGTACTGAAAATACACTTCCATTACTGATAATTGATTAGAATTTAAACCCAAAAACTTCAACACCTCCAGAAGGAAATATCAGAGCAAAGGTACTCACGGATCAAACTCATGGATAACACTTTCAAATCTCAGGACAGCAAAGAGACGAGTAGAAAATGCTGCAAAGTCCAGAGAATAAATATTTTCATCAGTAACATTCCATTAAAGAACAACAGAAGATAAACAGCAGCACTATGGAGAAACTAAAATTATCTAGCACTAGCATCACAGAAAATGCAAGATAGTTCTCGAATAAAGTCTCCATCCATTTCTCCCCACCTAGAAGAAACGAGTCTGACAAAACCATCTACGGTTTTTTCACCTCAATGGGATACATTTAACTGTTGTATTACACAAAGCCTGTCCGATCATAGTTACCTAATACCGAATTTGGCCACTTTTTACATATACTGACCCCTTTTACATATACACATACCCCTTACCTTAGTCTTGGAACAAACAAAGAGATACGTCAAGTAAGGATATACTTATGACTCATGAAGAGCTGGGAAAGCTTTAAAAACAATAAGTCCTCAAAAGGCTTTCAGAAATACTAAGGTGCAGTAATGCATGCTTACAATGCCAGCCCTTGGGAAGCTGAGGGTACATAGCAAAACTCTGCCTCAAACTAGTTACTTTTCCTATTGCTAGATAAATATCTGACAAAACAAATGAAAGGGAGAATTTTTTGGCTTTTACTTTATTTTTTTTTTTTTTTTTTTGGTTTTTCGAGACAGGGTTTCTCTGTGTAGCTTTGCGCCTGTCCTGGAACTCACTTGGTAGCCCAGGCTGGCCTCGAACTCACAGAGATCCGCCTGGCTCTGCCTCCCGAGTGCTGGGATTAAAGGCGTGCGCCACCACCGCCCGGCTTTACTTTATTTTATTTTGGCTCATAGTTCAAGGCTGAGAGAGCTATAAGCATAGAAGGGAGGTAGCGGAGCACAAAGCGACAGATCCTGCTGCATCCAATCAGGAAGAGATCTGTTCTGCTCACTTTCTCCTTTTAATTCAGTTCAGAACCCTTGCCCACAGAAGGGTATCATCCTTCCAACCTCAGTAGACCTAATCCAGGTAATTCCTCACTGTAGTGCCCTGGGCTTGTCTCCTAGGGGATTCTAGAGCCTGTCAAGTTGGCAATATGATCCATCACAAGCACCAGAGTTGAAGATAATTCTTTTACAAAATTCAACACCCAACAGCTCCCACTTTCTTTCAGTCAATGAAAATACAGAACCAACAGAGCATGCTTTCTACTTTTCCTATGATCAACAGCCCTGAGTTTTGTATTTCTTGAGTAAGTCTTCATAAGATTATACCAATGAGAAATGATAAAAAGAACAGCAATCTGCTAAAAGAATAAGGCATGTTTTTTAAAATCCATTTTTAAGTTTTTCATCATTCCAACTCCAAGAAGCCCACACACAGACTCACATAACACAGCAGCCATCGACAGGATGAGAAGCTTCAGAAGTGTGTCCTGCTTCTCATAGGACAACCGCAAAAATCCAAGCTTAGTCATCTTGACATCAATGGATGGTAACGGGTGATATTCAAATAGCTAAAATGAGAAGTCAAGACCGAAGATATTGAATAACCTGAATTTACTTAAGTTAACTTTAATCTTTTAGGGTGAGAAAGAACCATATGTATATACAAGCTACAAAAATACCAGAGAAGTTAGAGCTAATACTAACACCCAAGCTTTGACTAAAGATTGACATACCAGCAAAGAAGCAAACACTATTAGGTTTATGTGTCAAGAATAAATAGGTAGGACCAGAGTTGGTGGCACATGCCTTTAATCGCTCAGGAGGCAGAGGCAGGCCAGTCTGATCTACACAGCAAACTCTAGGCTAGTCAGGGTTACCTGGTAACCTAGTGATACTGCCTCTCCTGCCAAAAATGACTAAAAATGAGTAATCATACCACTCAACATGTCTATAATCCCAGTTACTCAAGAGACAGAGGCAGAAGGATCAAAGGCTCCAGGCCACACTAGCCAGCTTAGTGAGGGCCTGTCTCAAAATAAAAATCTTTAAAAGGGCTGCCCATGGAACTCAACAGGGCATTTGCCTAACAGGCAAAAAGCCCCACTTTTCCATCTTCTGTACTACAGAAACAAATATTCTACCCACAATTCTGTTTCCTACTTCCACAGCTACCAAGTACATAGTACAACGGGGAAAAGTATGACAGGAGAATCAGGCAGAAACAGAAGTGGGGAAAAAAGGCAGTAGAAGAAAAGCATGCAAAAATAAGAAGATGGAAAAAAAACAAAGATGATTTTTTAAAAGGGAAAAGAAAGCATACATGAAAATGAATGATGGGGGTGGGGAGGACACATGCATAAGCCTGGTACGGACAGTTCATGTCCATGTTCCCAACACTTGGTGACACTGAGGAAAAGTCATTCATTGTGCAGTTGAGTTCAGGCTGGATACAAGGTTAAGTTCTAGGTCAGTTTGGGTTAGTGTGAGAGCTGACCACAAAAAGAGAAAGGGGGTGGGGCTGGAGCTGGGGGAAAGGGGAGGGAGGTAAGTAGAAGATGGAAACGAACGTGACCTACGGAAGTGAAAGTAGAAAACCAGAAATCATGACGGACTGGACATGAGTTCCAGCCCTAAGTCTAAGGCTCAACTGATGGGCTACAAGTGGCTACAAGTTTTTTCTGTGGATGCTTCCTGGCCAACGGAAGCACAGGCTGATCACTAACCCAAGAGCAAGCCATGCACTCAAGAGAGAAACATACTCAGCCCACTGTATTTTCTTCTTCATAATTCATACTCTTAACTATTGCTCAGATCTATTTTCCCTGTCAAATCATGTTTCAAGGCATCTCTGTAACTGACCCTAATGACCCAGGGACAGCTTGTAACACCAGATGATAATCTAGAGGGAAAACATAATTTTTTTTCTTCTGAACCAGAATAAAATGTCGGAGTGGTGGTGAGGGAAGCAATCTGCAGACAGTTCAGAATGGTAATTATAGACAAGGGTTGTGTTAAGGACTAAGGGCAAAGAATGTAATGACAGAAAATATGTAGCATTGTTCAAAACTCTGGGGAACAAGTGAGTCTGCATTACTACTTATCTTGTTCCTTTCTTACTGGAGGAAAAACAAAAAGGTTGGGAAAGGATAACTAACACTGGACTAGATGGAAAACACGAAGAATCACATGGGGAAGTCAAGAAATCTTTTCTTTAATTAACTGTCCCAGAAGAGCAGTTTGGGCTAGTGTGTTTAATTATAATTCCAAAGGGAAGGCTTTATCATGCACTAACTCCGGGGAGTGAACAATTCAGTCCCATCTCCTGGGTCTGGAGCTGTTCTCCGGAGATAGCGGAAACGGCAACAAAACACCACTGACCCGATATGATCCACACACCTGAAAAGTAAGCAGGGGAAGCGACAGTGCTAAAACCTGGACTTGAAAACCGAGTAAAGGCAGCTAGTAATTTAAAGCCGAGGGCTGGGAGGTTCCATCCTGTTCTCTGGTAATTTCCACACGCCGACAGGGCACAGAAAGGAGAAAGACGCTTTTCTTATCCGCTCAGCGTCTTGCTGCTTCTCAGCCGTGCATGCAAGCCTTGACATCCTGACCCACCCCAGCTGCAGCCTCAGCGTTTCCACGTCCTCCTGCACACCCTCACGGAACTGACCCCAGACCCCGACCCCAACACCTCTCAGCACACTCCGCATGGCCCCTCCAAGCTAGTCTCAGGGTTTCGTGTCCCACGCCCACGCTGCCAGAGCGCACTGCCCTGCCAAGACCCCTCCTCCGATCGTCCGGTGCCCAGTGCCCGGAGGTCCCCACACCACCCCACACGCCCCCTCCTCCGCAAGGCCGCAGGCATGCTCGGCTCCCCACCGTTACAGGCCTGCCTCCAGCACCTCGTTCGGGCCCGCCAACACCCTGCACTGCACCTGTCGCTAACCTTCAAGCACTACCCTAGAGGCCTTCTCACCCGGCGGATGCTCCTCAGGAATCCACTCGGCTCCCCCTGCCATCCGTTCAGTGGCGCACCCAACCCTGACAGCAGCCAAGGCCCGCCTCCCTGCCCTGCTCCGCATTGGCTGGCCCAGGGCAATGAGCATTTCAGGGGAGCGATAGGATGACGATCCTGTCTGTCATTCCGAAGGCGTAGACCAAGCCAGGGTCCCCCTTTTTGAGTGGTCAATTTTAGCTATCACTCAGCCAATTGAGAGGCGTGACTATGAGCGCCCGCCGAACTGTGATTGGTCGAGGCAGGAGAGCGAAATGCGCGGAAAGAGCCTGCTCTGAGCAGTTTGGTTGAGAACCGAGGAGTGACGTGTCGGTCTGCGGACTGGGAGGGAGTCGCGGTGGGAAGGAGCGGCCGCGGTACCCCAGCCACGTGACCAGAAGCGGAAATACGCAGCGAAAGCGGAGGTCGCACCACGTCCGGAAAAGTTTGGAGTGCGGAGCCGCTTGTTTCTAAGGTAGAGATGGCTCGTACCTAGTAAACGGTTAAAGGAGAGAAGACTGACCTACATGTTATGAAGACTCTCCGGCTTGATCCCCAGAACCCAACTTTGTCTGCTAACGAGCCCAAGGATTGTATTTGACTCTGTTCCAGTAACTTGGGTAAAGGGACCCCTGACAGATTTCACCGAGGCATTTCACTTCCTTCAGGCCTGGCTTTGTGAAAGTGCCTACTCGGCCTCAAAGACTGTCAGAACCGTGCCCGAGCCAGCGATGGCCTGCAGAAGTCATCGCAAGCCCTGGAGCGGTCCTTGGCTATCAGGAAGCAGCCTTGCTTGGTCAGTTTGGCCCTTGGCCGGGTGAGCAGCTTTCTGCCCTCCCCGACCCTCCGAGAACGTTGCCGAGAGCAGGCACAGGGCAGGGTTTCAGCAGCCAAACGCCTATCTTTCAGATATAAATATATACACGGATGTACGAGCGCTTCCACTCCTTACATACCTCCGACCAAAGACTGCCCTAAAGATCAGACCATCCGGACAGCGTTCACATTTAGTGCCAGTGGCGCTGGCTTTTGTTTTACTCTCCCATGAAGGGAACAACTAGCTTACTGAAATCAGTGCTTTGCAATCATGTGTTTCCTCAAAATTCCCATGACCTACTGGGCGGTGGTGGCGCACGCCTTTAATCCCAGCCCTCGGGTGGCAGAGCCAGGCGGATCTCTGTGAGTTCGAGGCCAGCCTGGACTACCAAGTGAGTTCCAGGAAAGGCGCAAGGCTACACAGAGAAACCCTGTCTCGAAAAACCAAAAAAAAAAAAAAAATTTCCCATGACCAGTTTTACCCCAGGACCCAACTCAATAGCTCTGTTTTGTTTTTATAGTAGATAGTCCTTGTAGTTTTATTTTAGCAAGAATAACGGTACAGCACACACTTTATGATGCCAGCACTCCCAAAGCCTGAGGCAGAAAGAGCTGAATTCCCAGGCATCTTAATCCGATGGAGATAAGCATAAGGACTTTACATGCCTTCAAATGCATGTGTCTTCAAAACATAGCTTAATTTCTTACATAGAAAAATTATTTCTCACAGTTCTAGAGCCTGAGAAACGTAAGATCACAGTGCTTGGATTTGGCAAAGACTTTTACCATGTCAGATGATGGGAGATCACCTCAGAATTTTTACTTTGAAAAAAAAAAAAATGCTAGGACCAATGAGATGGCTTGGTGGGTAAAGACAGTTGCGACAATTGCCCCTTACCATACCAACCTTACAATCTGAGTTAGATCCCCAGAACCCACCTAAAGGTGGCAGAAGAGAACTGACTCCACAGAGTTGTTCTCTGACCTACACACACACACACACACACACACACACACACACACACACACACGATGAGTAATAATAAAATTTTTAAAGGATGCTAGCCTAAGCCTGGTGGAAAGCCTGTCACCCCAGCTAGTTCAAAGCCTTCCTGTGAAGCTCATGAGACCCTGTTTCAAAGGGTAAACTGAGGCCTGGTGATGTAATTCAGTAGTGGAAAATAAGGTCCTAGATTAAATCTCTCATAGCAAAGAGACAGAAAAGAGGAGTTAAAAAAAAAAAGATTTTCAAGTTCTTTTTTTTTTTTTATTAAAAAAAAAAAAGCACTTCAAAAAATGTTAGAAGAGTGTTCCTTCCCTGGCGCCTCTCCCACTCAGGAGGTTTTTCCTTTTCATTAGTCTGCATTCACCCTGAAGGGGAATAAGAAAGACTGTTGAGGGAAAAAATATGGTGATTATTGAAAGCTATCTTTTTTTTTTTTTTTTTTTTTTTTTGTTTTTCGAGACAGGGTTTCTCTGTGTAGCTTTGCGCCTTTCCTGGAACTCACTTGGTAGTCCAGGCTGGCCTCGAACTCACAGAGATCCGCCTGGCTCTGCCTCCCGAGTGCTGGGATTAAAGGCGTGCGCCACCACCGCCCGGCGAAAGGTATCTTTTTTAATTGAACGTGTTTCCAAAAGACGTTACACTACATTTAAGTTTCTAGGTGTTAAAGTTAAGTGCTCATTTTTAGGAGTGAAATTCCTATTAGTAAAGAGAGACTGGGCATGGTGGGGAGCAGAGATGGGCAGATTTCTGTGAGCTGAAGGCCAGCTTGGTCTACATAGAGAGTTCTAGGCCAGTGAGAATCACAGTGAGACCTTGTCTTTTCTCAAAAAAAAAAAAAAAAAAAAAAAGAGCAGGATGAGTTTTTGATACCAGACTAGCTAATGATAATTATAGTATAATTATAGCTAATCTGTAAATATCAGAGAAGTCAGTAAATCAGCCTACAGATTACATATGAATTCATTTCTGAGATGGTGGTTTTAGAAAGCAATGATTTTACTATTCCATCGGTTATTAAAGTGTTTGGCAACACTATTGGCAGTAACTTAGATAGGGAATCAGCCTCACTGCCTGCCAGCAGATAAATGGGCAAAGAAAACATATACATATGTACACTATGTTGGCTAATTTTATGTCAGCTTGACACAAGCTAAAGTTATCTGAAAGGAGGGAACATCAATTAGGAAATGCCTCCATAAGATCAGGCAGTAGGCAGGCCTGTAGGGCATTTTCTGAAGTAGTGATTGATGTGGGAGGGCCCAGACCATTGCGTGTGGTGCCACCCCTGGGCTGGTGATCCTGGATTCTATAGAAAGCAGGCTGAGCAAAGCAATAGGGAGCGAGCCAGTAAGCGCTCCTCCACGGCCTCTGCATCAGCTTCTGCCTCCGGGTTCCTGCCTTGTTTGAGTTTCTGTCCTGACATCCTTCAGTGATCAACTGATATGGAAGCATAAGCCAAATATACCCTTTCCTCCCCAAGTTGCTTTGGTCATGGTGTTTCATCACAGCAACAGTAAGCCTAAAGAGGACATACACAATGAAGCATTATAAAAACGAGGTCCGATGGGCAGTGGTGGCGTACACCTTTAGTCCTAACACTCAGGAGGCAGAGGCAGGCAGAAGTATGTGAGTTTGAAGTTCAAGGCCAGCCTGGTCTACAGAGCAAGTTCCAGGACAGGCTCCAAAGCTACACAGAGAAACCCTGTCTCAACCCCCCCCCCAAAAAAAAAAAAGAAGAAGAAGTCTGTCGTTTGCAGGAAAATTAATAGAACTAAATAGCATCATGTTAAATAAAGTAAGCCAGTCACAGAATGGTGAGCATTGCATGTGCTCTCCTATGTAATAACTTTAAAAGTGAGGGCAGTGGTACTGGAGAGATGGCTTGTCAGCTAAGGTGTGTACTAATCTTGCAAAGGACACATGTTTGATTGCTAGTACCCACTTAATGTGACTCTCAGCTGCTTATAACTCCAGATACGCAGGATCTGATAGCCACTGAAGGCACCTTCACTCAAGGACACATACCCCACACACAAACGCATGCATACAAATAATTGCAAATACTTTGTTTTGTAAGGGTGAGAGGTTAATATACTCTGTAGACAGTGCATATGTATGGAGTGAACCCCATCAATTCATATAAAGAGTATGTATAATATAAATTAAAAATATAATAGGAATGCAAAATCATGTTTTGTAGGAGTTAAGACTTTCACATAAAGCTGAGTCTTTCCTGAAGTGTATATTTACATTTTTAATTTTAAAAACTAATTTGCTGCGTATGTGCATGGTATGATGACACATGCCAGGGCATGCATAAGGAGGTCAGAGGACAACTTGAGGGATCTCTTCTCTCCTTCCAACATGCAAGGATCAAACTCAGGTTTTTGGGCTTGGCAGCAAATGTTCTTATCTGCTAAGCCATCTTGTTGGCCCTTAACTTTCTGTCCATGCAATTTTTGTTACTATGACAAAAAAACAAAAACCCTATGATAGTCAACTTAAAATGAAGAAAGGCTTAAATGAGCTCATCACTTGGCACTGTTACTTTGGCCCATGCTGGCACAACATATCATGCAAAGAGTCCAACATATAGACCTATTCACTTCATGGCAGCTGAGAAAGAGAGGACCAAGAGAGACTGGGGCTCTAATATCCCCTTCGAGGGCATACTCCCAGTTTCCACTAGTTTGCAAGATATTTGATTACACTGTGTAAAGATATGTCACTCAGATTGGTTTAATAAAAAGCTGAATGGCAGGAGTTGGGGATTTAGCTCAGTGGTAGAGCGCTTGCCTAGCAAGCACAAGGCCCTGGGTTCGGTCCTCAGCTGGGGGGGGGGGGTGTAAAAAAAAACTGAATGGCCAATAGCTAGGCAGGATTTCCAGGCACAGAGGACACAGGGAAGA